ACTGCCTAGAACATAGAAAGACATTCTTTGCATCATATAGAAACCTCCCATGTCCCGGAAGTGCCATGCACTCCCCACATGCACGGTTGCATCGCTAGCCAGCAGACACTAATAATCCATTCAATCGGAACTTTCTCACAAAGTTTACTCAAATCGAAGTGATCCTTTAAAAACCCTCTACTAGAACGTTACACGTTAAGAGGGATCTCACCGTGTGGACAGACAAGGAGGAACCCTAGAATTGTTTGTGGGCATTACCAAGTCCTGCAAATTGGCCATGTGAAACTATCACAACACACTGAAAACACGCGGATTAGGACACGCCATGGCCAGCAGAGCTTGTCATGTGAAAACGATCCAAGTTGGTGGAGTTTAAATGTAAATTTTATCTTAAAGCAAGATTGGTCAACCACCAAGGACCTAATCCGTACACACGCCCCGCTTACAAAAACAATTCGCCAGTGAACGTGTGCTATGCGCTGTGATTCAAAGACAAGCTCCGAGATAGATACATGTGTCGCCCTTCCTGTTAACAAGCGATTGGATGATCCCCGGAATCGTGATTCACCGCGGAGATTAAACAAGTCGAGCGACACTGCACGTGCATGTCAATTTGCCCTAACCTTTAAAACCCTAAATTCTTTCAACGGTCACCACAGGAGGGCTGGGATATTTCCCCCGAGGATTTTTAAAAGGCCGCGTTCCGTACGCATCCTTTTTGGTTGCGTGTCCACATGCACACGAAGATGTGGCCACTGACACCATCCCGTCGCGCTACGCTTTTGGCCCATGTGCCTGACGGGCATACGGTACCACTCGCCCGCAAATACGTACCCGTACAGCGGAGATACACATTGGCATGTGCGCCGTACTGACATGCCTTGTACTCGTGATGTGCTGCTGCTGCCGTGGAAGTCGACGCTGCTGGCCAATGGCAGACGGCCACGCGGCAGGTGCCGAAAGGCATGTGGCCATGTGGTGTTGCGCAGGGGTTGAATTTGGGCTTTGCAACAGCCAGCCAGTCAGCCAGCTAGCTAAAGAGACCTACTTAAATGGCGCGCTTTCTCAAAATTTCGAAAGCTCCAAGCGCGCAAACTGCCGCGGGATATACCCCAGATGTCGGCTAAGCCCTAATCCAAGAGCCCTAAAATTGGGCCGGCAGAAATGTAGCTCAAGAGTCGCCGCCATGGCGATGGAAGAGCAAGCGAAAGCGTCGGCCGCGGCGGCTGCGGAAGTGGACGATAAGCAGCTCCAAGAGATTGTGCGGTCGTGGATTTTGCAAGCGCTGTCTGGGGTATGTCTGTGACTGCTTGTCCTGGGGTTTTTGAGGCTTAGGGTTTTGGGTTCCTTGCAGGAGGACATCGATCGCTATCGGAAATTGCTCTCGGACTTGAAAAACGTCGACTTCGATGATTCAGAAAGCGTCTCTGGCTTGGCGGTACGTGGAATTTAAATTTTTATTGTAGGGAAGCTGTGTCACGAGGCTTATTTTCGTTGTAATTTTTCCAGGCAAGAATACGAGCGCTCTCCCAATGTGTAAGCATTATCAACGAGCGGGATCACGAGATGCTGCTATCGCTTGTAAGTCGCCCTTCTGTTTTCTAATGCTTCGTACTAAGAAACTTTTCCCTAGGTGTTTTCTATGAGCTTCTGGAGTGGTAGCAATGAGCTTCTGGATGCAATTGAGAACCTTGTCGTGAATTTGGTAAGTAGACAGATGATTTGTTTCTCCGGAATGCTTAGATGTTTTCATTTCAGGCGACTTCTAGCGGTGTTTTGGTGCCCAGATGCTTGGACATGCTAGTGCGGAACTTTTTGCCTCCCTCATGTGGTATCAAGGTGCATCTTGACTGTTATACACAAGACAGGCTTGCTAGAAAAAAGATGACTTTTGAAAGTCTTAAAGGACTAAAACCGCTACATTTGTCCATGAAAAATGACGTCATGAATCGTGTGCATCTAGCTCTACAACGAATTTTGGAGTTGGTCCCAATTGCCGCTCTGAGGCTTCATCCGATCGTCCAGCAAAGAATGCCTCATCGAAGGGTTGACAAAGATGTAAGTTCGTTCTTCTTTTTATGTGATTTAAAGGGCCTTACCTTGAAAAAGTTTTGTGCAGTGGAATTCTTTGTTTCTGGAGAATATGTTACTTTTAGATAGCAAGCGCGTTAGTCCAGCTATAAGCAGCCGGATGCTGTTGGGGATAGTCGACAGGCTGATCGAGATAGATGTAAGAGCTTACACGGTTTTATTATTCTTTTTTCTTATTCTCATTATCCTTCCAGGTAGAGATAGCTTGGGAGGACATTTTGAAGGATGAGGATAGTAGCAAAGTTTTGGTCTTCCATATGGATGTTGATGAATCCGATGACAAACAAGCGGCTCCCGGTAGTGAGGTAAATATCTCATCTGTTTATCTTTAGATAAGAATTCTGATGCGTGAGTTGTTTTGCAGGCTCAATTGGAGCATGCCTTAGCAGCGCATTCAGGGAAGAAGCCTTTAGATGAAATAGCAGATAAGATGGACCATTTGATGGAACTGGTTTTTGAGCACTTGCATCAATGTGCGAAAAATGAAAGGCTCGACGAGGTGTATACGACACTAATGGTTTCTTTCAAGTCGACTGTCCTTGACACTTACAAGTCAAAGTTTACGCAGGTATGTCTTGTCGAAGTGAAGTGTGAATTTTAGTAACAAGCTTGTTTTCTTCAGTTCTTGATCTTCTATCTGTGCTCGTTATCTCCTTCAAGTTGCGGGGCGAACTTCGCTGGGTTTCTTTGCGAGACATTTGTTACTCGGTCTATTCCCAGCAACACAAGGTACAACCTTTGAGCTTTAGAATGAAACCTCTCTAATTATGGTTCTTTTTCAGGATGTCTGCTGCCGCATACCTTGCGAGCTACCTTGCCAGGGCAAACTTCTTACCTTTGCCTGTGGTGCTTTCATCCGTTTCAAGGTACTGCTTTCATAAGACAAAGGGAGTCATTCTAATGAGATTATTATCTGCAGGCTAGTAAACTGGTGTGTCAGCTTTACTCCTACAAGGTTCGACGTGTTCAAATTGACAGACACAGCGCTTCATGGAGTCTTCTATGCTGCTTGTCAGGTGATCATTTTGCTCTGGCTTTGGACGGTCATTAACTTTCATGTCTCATGCAGGCAGTAATGTACATTCTCTGCTTCAGATTGAGGGAGCTTTATGCGGAGTCTACGCAAAGACCCTTGCTGAAAGGCTTGAGATTGCAACAGCTGATAGAGCACAAGCTTTGCCCTCTTAAGGTAACCCGCAAGAGCATAATTGGTTATGTGCTAATGCTCGTTATGCTACCAGGTGTGTCTTCCCTCCGTCGTCGAGGAGTTTGTCAGGCAAGCGACGGCAATTCAGCTTATCAGCTACAGCGGCACTGTAGAGCCTAGCTCCGGATTCGAGGTCTTGTCATTCAAATCCTATGGAGGTGACAACAGGCTAGAGATGTTCTTCCCATTTGATCCTTACTTGCTGAGACGATCGGACAGGTAAGACCATGGTAATTGTTTTTACTGTGCTGAGTAACAACAAAATGGTGGACAGATTTATCGAGCCAATCTTCACGCACTGGTCTGCGGCTCACTCAGCAAACGAAGTCGAGGAACAGAGCAGCGACGAGGAGGAGCCTGTTGTGGAGGAGGAAGAGGTGTTAGATCCGGATGATCTGATGGAGGCCGAAGAGGAAGGCTACGATGATGGTGGCGAGGAAGCGTTCCGGAATTCTTTGGAGTGCATGTCCATCACGCCGCCTCGGATGCTACCGGCGAATTTGGCACACATGCTTCCAATCTCTTGAGATCATCAAGTTTGCTTCAAATATATATTTGTAAACTTCGGGTTGGATTTCATGGATTCCATTGGAAAGATTCAGATCTTGTGGGCGGTGGTCGAAAACGTGAAGTTGGACGGATATCTCTGCGTTGGGCACCTTCACCAGGAATGTCAAGAACTCTTCACAGATGAGCTGATTGATTTGATTATTAAGAAGGCACCACTGACAAAGGTATGAGTTTTCCACAAGCTCATTGGGAAGAGGCACAGTCGCACTGTGATCTGTGTTTCTTGATGCTGAGTTTGCAAACGATGGACTCACTTACCCAGACATGTGATCAGGAGACTTTCACCAGAGTACATGGGTTCTTTCAGAATAAGCATTTGGAAGCCATGGGTTTGGGCTACAAACCCGAGACCCAAACCCGAGATTTGTGTGTTTGAGAATGTTCTTCATATCTCTGACGAGAGGCTATTTCGTGAAATGGTTAAGGAACATCCAAATGTGGCTGGAAAACCAAATAGTTCTATGGAGTCTAAACACTTCGTTGGTTTTAGGGGCAAAAGCCAAGGGTGTTAAGCTGAAAGTTAAGTCGTTCTTCATAAGCCATGGAAGTGACATGGATAAGGGTCTTGGTTTATTGCTTGAGATTGCTGATCCAGCACAAGCTTATCAGGTTGGCCATAAAGAGAGGCCGGCTCAAATTGGATGATAAACAACTAGCACAATGTTACCACCTTTAGGTTATGATCGTAAGTGGGAAAGTCTTAGGACGAGAATGCTAAATTACTTTTTAAGTTTGGCAACCTCAAACTGTTGCCAGCCATTCCCTTGAGCCCTGAAGGCAATACTAAAAGAGACTTGCACGAAGATCGCCGTGCTACATTGCATTTTGCAACTTGATGGAACCTGATGCGCTGAACATGGTATGATTATCGTTATTTGCGGGATTATCTCGATACCTCATAGTTGAAACAGTAATTATATCGATATATTCTGTTTATTATTTATTAATCCAATTAGAAGTTTATAATTATAAACATACCATTAGACTAGAATATACTAGGAAGTAGTTTATAAATTATAAATATTCAAATGTAGATTGTAGAATATCCTAAGATAAAACAAACATAATCTAAATATATCCATTAATTGCTTAAACCCAAGTGCCATGTGGCAGTTAGGGTTTATCGCTGAAATCATGGCGGCATTTGTGGCTTCAATGCTGCCGCCACCGGCAGTGATTGTTGGGCGGGGCCGAATTGGGTCGGCTCTTGAAAAGCTGGGGCATGGCAGGGACGTTGTCTTGCTGCGAGGCCAGCCGTTTCCATCCAGTCTCTCTTCCGGCCCCATCTTTGTTTGCACCCGGAACAACGATCTGGACGCTGTCGTGGACGCTACCCCGGCACACCGTCGCGAAGGTATCCATAGAATCCATGGCATTCTCTCTAGGCTTCCTCTCATTCGCTTCTTCTCCCAGACTTGGTGTTCTTCCAGAATGGGATGCTGGAGCCGTGGCTGGAGAAGCGTGGATTGGCAGACGCTACGCAGGTCCTCGTCTACTTCGCGGTCGCCAAGCTCGGGGACGAGCCCGTTGATGGCAAGACGGATGCCAATCCCGAGGGCCTCACTGCCGCGTGTGGGAAATGGGCTGCCGCAGTTGCTGCAAGGCTACACGCTGGAGGGTTGTCATGCAAGGTACTTTCGCAAAGAAACTCTCGTGAGAACCAGAGAGAAAAGAGAGCTTTTCTTTCGACTCGACTTACTCCAATGGCAGGATGGATTCAACAGGTGTTGGACGCCCGCGAGTTTGCCAAGCCCATGCTTGAGAAGCTGATATGGATTTCAGCTTTCATGCTTGTTGGTGCCCGTCACCCTGGCGCAACTGTGGGAGACGTTGAGAAGAGGTATCGTGACGAGGTATGTCATGTTCATCTCATTCTAGAAAATGCAAAGCTCTCTCTTTTTCCTACTTGCAACAGGTCTCCGAGCTTATAACCGAGCTTGCTGCCGCAGCCTCTTCGGAAAAATCCGCGGCTTTTGGTCCCGGGCTCGAGGAACGCCTGTGTTCGTATGCCAGATCGGTTGCTCACTTTCCCACCGCTGTGAAAGAGGTCGTTATTCTTTTTTTCGCACTCTTTTCCTGTGATGACATGCTTCGTCTGTGTCTCAGTTCGAATGGAGGAACGGATGGTTTTACGGGATCTCGGAGCGAGCAATCGCGTCTGGGACGACCGATCCCTGCCCTTTGCACTCTCGGTGGCTTCAGGAAGTGGAAGCGGTCCCCAAAGTTCTTGCAAAGTGATCACCCAAGATTTACATCGTCCCGAATCGTAAAAACCTCTACTGTGTGAGCGTTAGCTTTGGACTTTTGATGGACAGCAAAGGAATCACATTTCAGGAATGCGATCTGGAGTTTGTGGTGGAAGAAAGTATTATCAAACTGTGTGATCTTCGCAACCAGGAGACCAGAGACCGAGGCAACAACGTGTGTGCCAACGATTCCAGGATCTGGAAGATCAAAGTTGTGCCTTCGCAAACTCGAGAAAGCTCCTTTAGTGGCAGAGTGGGAATCGCTGGGTGATGCCTGGGCATCCAAATAATGCTTGTATAATTGTGACGCGGTGAAACAAGCGGTGCTAGTAATGCTCCTTCGAATCTCGTGACAGTCCTTAGTAATTTAGCCACTTCTGTGGGGATTTTGACAGCAAAATCCAGTTGTTCCAGTAAGTTTGGGGGTGGAAACTTTGGGTGGTGCGCACAAATATCTTTTTCTTTGTTTTTTTCTATCTCGTGTCACTCGCATGATTTTCCGGATTTTCGCACAGAAGCTTTGACAAGTTCTCGGTACTTAAAAGTTTTTTGGCGTAGTGTGATTCCCACAAAGAGGAGAAATTCAATTATAAAAGTTTTCTGGGCAAGGATCTTGGCTGGAATCTGTTTGAACAAGAAAGAGAAGAGCATCACTTATCTAATGATCCAGCTTGTCGGCTGCATTATATAAGCAAGCTTTGCTTGCTCTCTAAATCACTAGAAAAAAGAAAGAGCCGAGTCGGTTAGAACTCGCTCTTTCTTTTTTTCTCCGCTCTCTCACTCGCTTACTCGATCTCATCGTTGTTTGATCGACATGGAGAAGCAGCAGCAGCACGTCGAGCTCGAGTCCGGGAATTCGAAGATCATCGATGACTGCTGCAAGAACCCGGAGCAAGACAAGGAGAACAACAAAGCCACCTTGTTCCAAGCGTCAGTAAACTCCATCGTCCTGCTCATTGGTATGCAAGGACACCTTCATAATCTATGATTCTAACTTTCTTTGCTCGCAGGCCTGGGAACGCTCTCCTCCGCGTACGCGATAGAGAGATCGGGCTACTTCGGGCTGTTCGTTCTGCTTATCACCGCATCCTTCTACTGGTGCGGATCCAAGCTCATCTCTAAGTGCCTCGTCCACGATCCAAGTCTCGCAAACTATCAGGACGTAGCAACCAAGGCCTTCCCATCCTGGGCTCCAATTCTTGTCCGGACGCTCTTCTATCTCCGGATCCTTGGAACGCTCACGGGTTACCTCGTCTCCATGGGTGACACCCTCACGCACATATTCCCGAGCTCCAGGATCAACGTCCTGGGCGTGATTCGAGGCAAGGCTCTCTTCACTTGCATGGCGTTTCTCTTGGTTCTTCCCACAACTTGGTTCCGGAACTTGCGGACGATCTCTTATCTCACGTTTTGGTGCGGGATGAGCATCCTCGCCACCGTTGTGTGCCTCGTCGTGGCTGGAGCAGACTATGGAATTGGATTCGATCAGCCCGTGGCCGTTGTCAATGTCAAGAATCTTCCCCTTGCGACTGGAGTGTACACTTTCACGTTTGGATCCACGCCAGTGTTGCCAAACATTCAAAGATCCATGGAGAACCAGGGTGATTTCCCAAAAGTAAGCTTCCTGATGATCTTGTTCTAGTGCATTTGTGTTATCAGTTTATTTTGTTCTTCTTGCTCTGTCACCTTTTGGTTGGGCCATGAAAATATTTAAACTCACAATTACACTGTTTAACAGGTGATGGTCATCTCCTTCGCGACCGCGATCACGCTCAATGTCATCGTGGGCATCCTCGGCGCGATCATGTTTGGCTCCCAGACCAGGCCCCAAGTTCACCTCAACATGCCGCCACACCTCCTTCCCTCCAAGATCGCAATCTGGGCGACATTTCTCACCCCTGTTACCCAGTTCGCCCTCCTCCTCTCCCCAATCGCCCACGAACTCGAGCAGCTCCTCCTGCCAAATCTCTCTGACTCGCGGCACAGCCCAAAGCTCGGCTACCTCGCCTGCGTCTTCCTCCGCACCATGATCCTCTCCGGCATTGCTCTCGCCGCCGTGCTCTTCCCGTACTTCGTCAATATCATCCAGCTTATTGGATCGTCCCTCAACGTGACGCTCTGCATCATCATGCCGTGCCTGTTCTACGTGAAGATCTTTGGGGACAAGGTGAGCCGGATGGAGAAGGCGGGGCTGTGCGCCATGGTGGTGCTGAGTGCCATCGCTGGAATCACTGGAGCGACAGTGTCGATCAAGAATTTGATCCACAAGCAATAGCAGTGGAGCCAAGAAAGATGAGACAAAATGCGAATCAATCCATTATTTGAGAGCCCACCAATAACTCAATGAAGAGACTTGGTTTTTGTTTTCGGAAAAATGAGAAGTTTTAAAATGTGAGTATACATAAATACTAAGCAATTAGGTCAATGTCAAGAGTCACTTGTCTAAAAACTTATAATGTAACACGTAACTTTTGAGGCTGATGCGTGAAGCAACAAAAGTAATCCAAAGTTAGAAGGTTGTGAACTACACATGTTTCTCCAGTACAATGGTTGATCAAACGCAATATCTTAACTTCCAAATACATCTGACTCTGTTTGTGCTTTTTAACTTTTGTTTGTTAGAATGGGACTTGACAATAATGCCATAGAAGAGACATGAAAATAAAAATGGGTTACCACATAATGTTTTGTGCCTACTCATCCTTTAGTTAAATAAATTTGTGTATCTCTAACTCAGAATGAATAACAAATGAAGTAGAGAAAGATTAATAGTAGGGAAATCATGTTAATTTGAACTGTTTTATAGAAATAATAAATTAATAAATTATAAATAATATAATTGGTCTTTTGATACTTGGGAGTTCAATTTTATTTTTTCATTTAGTGTTCAGGTTTTACTCCATTTAGCACATGTGTCCAATAGTTGTTTCAGTTTCCATAGGACCCACCTCCAAATTAAAAAAGGATTTTTAACCTAATTTTAATGCTTTTCTTTTTATTTTGAATTATTAAAAGCATAGAATAACATTAGAATAATCCTAAAGCATCTAATGCCAAAACTAATATACAAAATAGAGCCAAAAGGTATTTAATAGTATTTGAGCATATTAATGGTTTATGTGAATTTATGGGTACTCCACCAATTAGCATAGTATGAATTTGGGTTTAGACCTAGCCAAGCCAATGCAGACAAAAATAAACACATCCAACATGGAGCTAAATAATATTTTAGATTAGTCAACCATGCCTTATATACCCTTGAAAGCTCAAAAACTCATTAAATATAAAATGATGCTATCTTGTGAATTTAAACATGAAAATAACACTATTGTGTTTAAAAAAATCTTTGGATAATGATGTATTTGATATTTTCCATTGGGTTGATTTAGATGTAAACAGACATTGGGTGGATACATCTCCTGCAAAAGTCTAACTAAGAGTTGCATCAAGTGAAAATTTGTATACTGCACTAAATACCCATAAGCTTAGCTCATACAATCCATGAATTTAAATTTTCTTTAAAAGCTGAAAATCCTTTTTAGTTTCCTCTCCATATCCTTTATATAAGACATTTGTAAAATCTTGAGAATCTTTGTTATAACTTGTAATTTCTTGATCCCAACTTTCTAAAAATATGGGTTAACATGAGAGGAGTATCATGATGATGTTGTTAAGTTGAATTGTAAAAAATTAATGACATTACAATCCACCAGGTTTTTAACAACTATGGGAATTTATAGCTTTGGCTGTGAATGTGACTTAACCTAAATCTTTAAATATATATTTTTAAATCATGAGAGGGTGATGAAAAAGGCACTACAAACTTTGAAGACTGCTAAAAAAAGTTGAAAAATGTGGTAGACATGAATGTAGTGGGATGGGATAGGTGAGAATATAAAAGTTTGTGAAGGATGATTAGATGGGGAGAGTGGCATTATTAGAGATATCTCTCACCAAAGGCAAATTCAAAGCAAGGATATCAACTATGTCAATAGTCATTATGTTTCTATGCCAATAACCTATAAATGACTGGACTTGAGAGATTGCATACCATAGCCAAAATTTACTATGATCCTTTGATTTGTCCTAGAAAAAGCTAGTGGAGTATTCTCTCTAACATTTCAGTGCCCTAATCATATATCCCAGGAATATGCTGGAATCCCAAAAATACCTGTGTAACTGAGGAACTAATGGTAATTTACCATAGAGTAAAGGGTGAAAACTAAATATTACATTATAGAGTTGTTACTTGGCTTAATATTTTCTTTAACAGGTTTTTCAATTTAATTATCTAATAATCCTTAGACATAGTTTCGGCAAAAGATTTATTATTCTTTATAAATTATAACTATTATTTGATCAATCTCAATTTGATACTTTTCACACGAAAGCATCTAAATCCCATCTTATACAGTGACTTCTATTCCATTCCACCTCTTTTAAGAAGTAGCAATTTTATTTGGCATAAATAATCCACTAGTGTCGATAATCCTTCACCTTTCAGAGGGTCCAGGCATATTCTTGGGTCATTTTCTAGTGGCCGCGAGAAATCATGTTAAAGTTACTTCTAAAATATTTTCTTTTTCATTTGGCCGAAGTAAGAAGCTATGGCTTCGCACTCGCTTGGTGTTCTGGGCTCGCCGTGCTCGCCCCACAAGAGCACCAATGGTGCTTCCGGCTGTGGCGCGGCCTCCTGGTCCTTGCATCCTCCGGCCGGGAAAGAGAGGCAATCGATCATTACCAATGCTCCCTATAAGAGCGTCTCAATCTCCTCCACAAAGAAGACCACTCGGATAGTGGTCTGGCCTCAATCCAATTCTTGATTTGTTATCGGCTTTGTGTGTGTGGTTGTCAATGGATTTGCTCGTTCTCGTGTAGATTTACGCTCGGAAGCAAGGGGGTGGCCTCAACGTTATGATCTCAGGCGCCCCAGCGTCAGGCAAGGGCACGCAATGTGAGATGATCAAAGACAAGGTATGATCCATCCACTGAAAGTTGTGTTGCAAGCTTACATTGTGTGTGACAATTCTAGTACAATCTGGTCCATATTTCCGCTGGAGATTTGCTACGAGCGGAAGTTGCCGCAGGCACTGATTATGGGAAGAGGGCCAAGGAGTTTATGGATCAAGGCAAACTTGTTCCCGATGATGTAGTGGTCTCGGTAAGTTCTATCGCATAATTCTCTTTCATTCTCACTCGCGAAAGTTTTCATAGATGGTCAAGCAAAGATTGCAGCTACCAGATGTTTGCGAAGCTGGCTGGCTCCTGGATGGATATCCCCGGAGTTTATCACAGGCTCAAGCACTCGAAGCTCTGAAAATAAGACCACAGCTTTTCATACTACTGGAGGCAAGTATTGCCTCTTTTCTTCGACTTGGTTCTTCACGCTGAATTTCTCAGGTGCCCGAAGACGTCTTGATCGAGCGAGTGGTCGGAAGAAGGCTCGATCCCGTGACTGGAAAGATTTACCACCTCAAGCATTTCCCTCCCGAGGATCCAGAGGTTGCCGCGAGGCTGATTCAACGCAGTGACGACACCGAAAAAAAGGTAAAGATGTTGTTTTTAAGAATGTTTCATAGCTAAACTTCCTAGGCAATGGAGCGCTTGCGAACTTACCACGAGAACCTCGCTTCTGTGTTGTCTGTGTACGAGAGCTGCATCAAAACTGTATGTGGTGATTGATTGATCTTTTCTTTTTTCGAGAGAAAAGCTTTGATGCATGTAATGCCAGGTTGATGGTAATCGACCCAAGAGCGAGGTTTTTGGAGACATTAGTAGCTTTCTGGACGATCGTATCAAGGTTGGCTAGTTCGTTCTCGGTCATAGTTCCTTTCTAAACAGCGTATTTTCCTCTTTGAAGGCTGCTACAAAAGTATCCAAGCCTAAGCAGGTATTTTCTCAACTCGGTAAGTTAAGAAGCTTTCCTTTCCAGCTGAGAGCTCCATTCTAGAGCAAACTTCCAGGACAGCTGGAGAGGGATGCCGACTAAACTAAATAGCATCCCGCACTCGAGAGAAATCCGCGAGTATTTCTACACAGAGGTCTGCGAAGGCGTGAGAAATGCGGTTGAAGACGGCCTTCACAAGCTCAAGGTTTGCTCAGCTGATGATATATTCGCATAATAAAGTCTTATTACAATCAGGTTGAAATCACAATACCGGAGCTGAATCCTGAGATGGTATTTGTCAAAAGACACAGCCTTTTTGTTCTGGCTTTTGATGATCAAGCTCTCTTGTGCAGGATGTTTACAGAGCTGGAACCTTGCTGGAGCTGGTGCGAGAGCTTGCATTTACGTTTGCCAACGATGGGAAAAGAGTTAAAGTATTTGATTTCTTCATTCCTTATTGTTTCTCTTTTCAGTTCATTCACTAGGAAGAACTTGACGAGCTTAAACTTCTTTCAGGTTTGTGTACAAGGCCCAATGGGAGAAGGGATTTTCAGAGGAATGCCACTGCAACTCTCGGGCTCCAGGATGATGCTCGAGGTTATGGACTGGGGCGATTACGGAGCAAAAGGAACGTTTGTCAACATTGGTGCAATAGGTGCCAAAGTCATGAATGCTTTTTGTTTTTTGGATCGATGGATGTACTGATCTCTCTCTGTCAGCTGCAAGCGATGTATCCGAAACGGATGACATGTTCATCCTCATGGCTCCGCAAAATGCCGTCGGAAATTGCATCATAGAGGTGAAAGTCGTGTGTTGATTATCTCCTTGTTTGTTCATTTCAAAGAGAGTTTTCTATTGTTACAGGATTTACAAGCAATGGTGCAAGCAGCCGGAGACAGACCAGTTATTCTCGTCAATCCGCAGCTCAAGGTGACGAACTCAAGTTAGAACATTATGGAAACTAAAACTCACAAGTAATCGTTTTCTTTTGTGCTTGCAGGACGTTCCAGGCGCCGGAGGAGTGATGCAGGTAAACTATAGCTTGGAATGTATAAGAAAGTAAGTTCCGTTGTCTTTGATTTTCCTAGGTGATTGGGAGAGAGCAAAGGATGGAGTTTTCAGACTCTTTCTTCGTTTGCTACTCTTTCAGGCTTCTCTACAGAGCTGGAACGTTCTATCCAATCATGGGAGCGCTCAGGTGAGCGAGAGAGCAAGCTCGAATTCCTCCATTGAAAAAAAATTGTTTGATCTTGCAGGATGAAGTATCCTGGCCCCTACGAAGTCCACAAGCGAATCGACACAGGCTACAGCAGTGAGACATACATCCAGGAAGCAACATTCCCAGGCCGCCCCACCCCGACAGAGCTGCAAGACGTCTTTGCCGGGCGATCGAAGTAAGTTTTCGTTGCTCGTGACTTCTTCCTCACAAGGAATGCTGGTTGTGATCCAGAGAGGCAAGCAAAACCAAAAGCATCTGGTCCTTCTTCGGAATCTAACAAGAGCAAGCGTTTCACTGAGAGAGAGAGAGAGTGAGGACGAAGATAAGAAACAAAGCACTTGCTTAATTCCAAGTACCTATCATATTTCTTCCACTCGTGTCATCCCAAAACGGGGGTGTGGCGGCGCTCTGGAGAATTACTACCGCAAAAAACACGAAGGAAAGAAAGCTTGCTCCTCGTGAGAAACTTGCGAAGAGAAACTAGAAAATATGCGTACCCGAAGAAAACAACGAATGAATGCCTTGCAGAAGCAATTGGAGGAAGCTCCAGATTTTCAAAACATTAGCAAAATTAGACATGTTTACCAGCTACCAGGAGACAACCATGGCGTGGCTGCGGTCTTCGTTGGCAGGGACATGCTCTCGAGGAGCAGCTTCAAAGTCAGTAATGGTCTGCCCATAAAAGCTCGCGTCAGTGTTGTATCTCAAGCGCTTACCGAGCAGCGGACTCATTCCCGGGGTCACGAGTCCTCCGGGCTTGTTGGCCGCTGACAGAAACGGAGATCTCAGCGGCGACAACACGGGACTCTTGGCGGGCGTCGTCGGTCGTTGTCTGAAGCCTGGAGTTTCTGGTATTGTGCTGGTGAGGGGCATGCTCGAAGGGAGCGTTGGAAGCTGCCGAAAGCTGAATTCCTCTACGCGCGAGGTTGCTTCTGCCGCCTGTGATGGATCAAAGTCCATGTTGTCGAGCCGGCCGTCCTCCGTAGCGTTCATTAGCTGCTCACGCTCCACTTCCGGGAGAATCTCCAGCGATTTTTCCTGCACAACACAACGCATATTAGAGAGTCAGGAACAGAAGTACGACGTACCATCAGTTTTGTTCGCTGCTCACATATCCTTTGCACCACGTCTGTGCTCATGTTCTCCATTATATATTGCCGCTCAAGGCTGAGCAAGCGCCTATGGACTGCATAGGCTTCTGAGAAACGGCACCGCTGGAAGAAGAAAAAAGCAAAAGAAGTTAGGAAACTCAACAGCTGCATAAAAACGTACCTGAAGATAGAAAGCGGCCAGAAGACTTCCAGAGGACGATGATGGATCCTCCATCGCCTGCTCGAGAAGACATTTCCTCAGAACTTTCTCCTCGTCCAGCTTCCAAGGGAGCTCCAACACCTTTACCATGCAGTTCTTCCTTATGCAGATAAAGCATAACTCCCCTAACAAAACGTCCAATTCCTGTATCCAGTCCCTGGCAACTACATCTTCGTCTTTCTGCTGCTTGATGTTAGTTCGGATAGCCTTGACATGTGATTGTTGGTAGAGGTAAGCTTCACTTAGCATGCTGCATTCAAGCAACACTCTGACAACCGTCACCGCCTCGGACAGTGGTAGCGGTGTCAATATTTCCTCGCGTGGCCTAAACCGACCAGTTGATTGTAGAACCGGCAAGGCTGCATCAGGCCTTCCTCTCTCCAGCAAAACGAGAGAAACTTTTGGATGTAGACTCGGACTAACAATCTCTGGGATCCAGCGACAGGCCTCCTGAAATAAGTGCATCAATACAAGTATTGTTAACCGCTGCCAAGACCTTACCTGTAATGCCTCATCACTTTTGTTGTCAAGAAGGTAGAAAACGAAGGACTCCAGCATTGACTGTCTTGGTATCGAGAAGGTCATGACGTAATCTTCGATGACATGTCTCCATTGAAGCTCGGGACACGTCCAGTGCCGATCAAACAAGTAATAGAGAAACTGGCTGTGTTAAGGACAACAGAGAAAACGTAATAAAACAATTGCAGAAGGATACGATTGCCTTTTTGGCGAAGAAGAGATCAGAGCTTCCTTCCAGAAAAAGAGCGTCAACCGCTGCACGAGTACTTTCTGGAGGATAGTCACTGTCAGGTGCCTGATACGTAGCGACGTTTCCATGCTTCAATGATCCGAGATCAAGCATCAAGTTGCTCGAATCGCCGTCGTCCTTTCCAAGACCGACGCTCAAAGCGTCTTCGATGAAGAGTGCGCCCGCAGGTTTTGGTCCCAGCCGTCCAGTGTTGGCCATGTACTCTGGCCATACTCTATCGTTTGCAGCCCATTTTCGTTCTTGAAAGGCAACCTTCCAGTGAGCAATGCTCGTAAAGCAGCTCGGAACATTATCAAGGAACTTTTGCCGTATGCACCATGTCATCAGATCCAAATGCTGGAACAAAGCTTCCAGCAATTAGTAAAACACCAGTAGAGAATATCAGCTCGTACCTGGATCACTATCCTAACGCTTTCTAAAAGCTGCTGCAACTCCACTAGAGATGCCGAACTAGCAGTAAGTGGTGCCTCAAGTGCATCCAGTACGTAGCACAACCCCTGTAGTCTCTTCCCATGCCTGTCTAAAGCATCGGCTTTGCTTTGTGTTGGCTTGGAATTATCTGAAACGATGACAAGTGAGCTAGTGAGCAGAAAAGGAGGAAAGAAAACAGTTACATATATCGCGTAGCTTTCTCACTGTCGTGAGGAACGTTCTCTTGCACCACTCCTTCACAACAGATCCATCAAGAAGCATAGAGATGACAGGATCACTTGAAATCGCAGCTTCGTCCATGCAAACGTCGGTCACATCTGGCCACTTGTCAAGGAAGAACAAACAAAACGAATCGAAAAAACAGCACGTCGAAAAAGGATACAGTGACAAACCAAGGATGCCATGCTGTTCTCCACCGCGATGTCAAAGAAGGAGCAAAGTCTCCAGGCATCCAGCGTCCAGTAAGGCCCGTCTTCTTCTTTCTCTTGAAACTCTTCCTCCTGGAAGAAAGGGAGGAGCCCAGCATCCACGCATTCGTCGTAGAGGCGGAGCTTGAGGACCTCCCCACTTCTCGGAATTGGCATCCGGCAGATCGGGCAAATGTCGCAGCGGTGGCAGCATTCCAGGCACAGGCACGCGTGGCCGCAAGACGTGAGGAGATGCTGCACGGTTCTCCCACAGCTCCTCAAATCCCTGGTAGCCCTGCATTTCTCCACCTTGGCCTCGCTACACAGATCCCAGGGCTCCAGCCCCGCCAGCCGCTCCAGCACAGCCTGCACAACCCACAATCTCCATCACCTCCGGCCACATTCCCTCGCAAAATCTCCCGAAATTTGCCCGCAAGAACACACACAGCACACCTGTTTCCGAGAATCGCCGCCGCCCCGCGACGAGGAAGAATCGCCATTGCCGTAGCGCGTGGGCGCGTCCTCCATCACCAAAAACCCTAGACTCTAAAATTTCAACCAATCCCAACCGTTGGTATCCGACGGCTGGATACAACACAGTGCCAAACCTATAGACCTTCCGTACACCCCCGTACGGACTTGAGATCTTCACATTATCCGTTAGAGCAGTTCCTGTAGAAGAGATAACAAACATCTCTCCACTCTAGCGATCAAAAATCCAGCAAAGAGAACTCGGGCGATTGATCGCCAAAATCGCCATCGTCGCTCTCTTCATCATACGAGCTGCGATCGCCATTGTCGTCCGGCTCGGATAGAAACTCGAAGATCCCATTGGCCGAGATATCAGCATCCTCGTCGCTCAGATCCAGCTCCAGTTGCTCCTCGTCCTCCTCGCCATCTTCCGACGATCCGGGTGAGAGCAGCCGGGGGCCATCGTCGTCATCGTCGTCCTCCTCGTCATCGTCTCCATCCATCTCGTTCTCCTCGTCCGTGTCCATGCCATCGTCCGGGTCGGAATCATCGTCCGTGGGTCTCCTCCTTCCAACCTCGTAGAACTTCACGTACGAGTCCATCACCTGGTTGGGCTCCATTGCCACCACCCCGATCACCGACTCGCTGTTCTCGGTGGCCAAGTCGAGCACGCAGCGGTCCACCTGCGTCGTGGCGATGTCCGAGTAGTCCACCGCGTCGATGGTCCGGAACGCCGAGAAGAGAGGGTGCCGGGCTCGCTTCGAGTTCAAGGCCATACCCACCTCGTCCGTGTTGCGCCGGAGAGTCGCGTAGATCACGTCCCCTCGCGGGTTGAACGTAAGAACTGTCTGGTCCAGCGACGGCACGCTTCTCAGCAGCTTGAAAGTTCGAAGGTCCCATACTTCCGAGTTGATGATAACCTGGAAAAGATCCAAAACCAAACCTTTAGACTCAGCACGAGCTAGAAACAACACTAAAGGCTCACCTCGTTTCCAGCCGGATGGAAGCCACCACCGCAGTAGTCCGTGAACTGATCGAACCGGTGGACGGCTCCAGGGATGCGGTGATCCCACAGGACACCATTCCAGAGAACCATGATGTCGGAAGGACTGAAGTGGATCTGAGACGGAAACTGGCCGCGGACTGGAGTCGTGATTGAAGCGTCCGTGAGTGTGTGCGATAATGTGTAGTTATTTACATCATAGAGCATCACTTCCTTGGCGTGTTGCCCCGATCTCGTGACACCGATCATCGTCCCAGCGTGATTAAACCGAGCCGACTTGCAGTTGTCAAAGGTGTGAAGCGGGCCTGGTGTCAAGCCTGCCGAGTTCCAAAGCTTGACATCCGAGGTTGACGACGAAAGGAGGAGCTGTCCCGAGCCGGAGTCACCTGATATCGAATGCGGGGCCGATTGTAGGCTTGTTACTGGGGTCAAGTGGCAGCCGTGTCTCTCGAGCGTGGTTCCGTTGTTTGCATCAAACAGCACGATGTTTCCGCCGTGACAACCGGCAGCAAAACATCCGGTTTGGCCCAGCACAAACGTTCCGCACGTAAGTATCCTTGCGTCCTCGTCTCGGCTCACACGGACTAGCCGGAACCTGCTGTAGATGAAGTGCCTGTTGTGCCGTCGCCCGTGCATGCCACCGTAAGGTGGGTTGATCTCTCTCGTGCCGAGCCTTGTAGAAGTGTTATACGAGGCGTAGAGAGTTCTGCTGGCCTCCGGGCAGACGTGAGGATGAAGTAACGAGAGCGGCGGCAACGTGGTTATTGGAGCCGGACACTGGCGGTGTTGGTGCTTGAGGTACTGCACCACGAGGCTGTCTAGCGTTGCTCGCTCGTTCGCGTTGTGCTCCACGAGTAGATTTGGATGCGAGCCGTGGACGGCCGGAGTCGTAAAGCTCGAGGGCTCTGGAAAATCGTCGAGCTTCTCCGAGGCCTTGGCTCCCAAATCTTGAAGAGCTGGAGTTGTCGTTAAGGGAGTCTCACAAGTGTTGTCGGTGGTCTTAAACCGCACCTGTGGAGTAGTAAGCATTGCCGGAGCAGCGCCGTTAGTGGAGAGGTATGGCCTCTTGTTTGGCGATGCATCCTTATCGCTTAACTTGCGTTTGAGTGAGCTCTTTGGCAGCACCGGCGTTCTTGACGTGCTGTCCTCGGTAGTATTCAATCTAGTCCCCGTTGCATGTGTGTCCTGTCCCTCTAATGTAACCCCTTCTTTACCAGCACCTGTTTTTCTAGGAGTCAAGGCTAGCCGCCTCCTCGAACAATCAAAATTTTGTCTGTCGTCATCGCTGCCCTGCTTGTTGGCCAGAAATGTACCACCGTTTAACCGACCGCTTGGCCATTGCATCTCCACCTTTTGATCAGTGAGAACTTCTTGGGCAGTGGATGAACTTGGAAGTGATGCCGCTGGCAACAAGGGATTCAAAGGCGCCAGTTGAGCTTCTTTGAGCAGCGTTAAAGCTGTGCTTGTGAACCCAGAAGCTAGAAGATGCTCGTGGATAAGCTGTAAAAGCTCCCTGTGAACACGAGATATACAGTCAACTGAAATTGGAAATAAGAAGGTGATCACTTACCTGGAGTGATAATTTATCGGTGTTGCCGCAGCAATAGCAGCCCTCTCTATTCGTCGCAATGTAGGCGCCGCTGCCTCACTTGCGACAGTGCTAGCTCGACCTGCATTTGTCACAATCTGCCGTCACCACGAAGTGAGTACAAGCACAACGGAGTTGGAATCTAACTTACCCCTATCAAGTCCAAGGCGGCCTGACTTAATTCAGTTTGCCATCTGTCTTGTCCTGCACGATTTGCTTGTGATCCATCCCTCAGAAGTTCTGACAAAAGTTTCCCAACCTGCAGCGAATAGAGGTGGTAAGAAACAAAGAACTATAGAGAACTTACTTGTAACTTCGTGAGGATTTGAGCAATGGCTTCGTCCCGGGCCAGTCCCAGTAGCACCCGACAGGCAAGGGCACGAATGTGAGCGGAGGGTGGCAAAACTGTTCGCGGATACAGCAAGTGCAAAAGAACTTTGATGCCGTTATTAGCTCGCACTGCTTCACGAGCAAACCGATAGCCTTGCTCCATAGATGCTGCTAGTCCAGGCCCTCCAGATCCTGGTCCTAACGATATCCTCGTGTCACCAACTAGAGGTGAAGACAATGAGAGAGATGTCCCGGCTCCGTTATCAGTTCTGTCGTCTCCTCTTTGCCTATCTTTCGTGTCTGAAACTGGCGCAGGTGTTGCACTAGCACCACCAGGCGCGGAGCGACTTGAAAATGCAGGAGGCGGACATACAAGATTTACCAGAATTAACAAAGCAGTTTGTATAACCTGCATAGGTACGAGCTCGATTAAAAAACAACAGTAGGAATGCATATTACCTCTGGCTGGTCTACAAAAGCGGCTCCACTAGCTGCATCTAGAAGAACTGACATTCCAGAACGTCCATTGCTCAAGACAGAACCGACCACCACTCTCCGATAACCTGGCACTAGAGTCACGATTTGCAAAACCGCAAGAGCATGTAGAGCACTTTCGTGCAGGTATTTTTCCCCTGGCGCAGCCTGAAAGAAACAAAATGAAATCATTTTCCACCTACAATACCATGAGTACCTGAGCTAGCTCGAGTAGATATATGTGTCCATTCTGGCTGATAAACTTCTCCAATGCGGGCCATTTGATTTTAACAAATTGAGCAGCGAGCTTTTTATCACGCCACAGTTGCTGTATGACCGCCTCTGTAGCTTCATTGCTCACGTCAATCGGTTTGTAGGAGTCCCTACTGTGATTTGAGTTGCGAGAAGCTCCGCGATGGCTCTTGCAAGGCTTCAAAGAGTCCACCCAGAGCAGAAAGCTAGCTCTGAAGTACTGTCTCAGCGCAACACAAGTGTGATAAGTGATTTGCTTGTCAGTGGAAGTTAGCACTTCCGCAGAAGAACCACGATCGCTACGTAGATTTCCACCAGATCTTATAGCGACCGTATCCCGTAAAAGGTTTAAAAACGTTCGGAGGCCGTTTTGGCTTTCAAAAGCATCGATGATAGCTCGAAAAACGAACGATGAACCAAAGAATAGAGCAGCGTTTCGTCGTGGCGTATCTTTGGGGCATTCTAGCAGCTGAAATGCTAGCGCCACCAAGTCATGTATAACTGTCGGAGACAAAGCACAGACTCTCTCCATAACACCCTGCAATACAGTTAAACGTTAAATGAGAGATGGTGCTAAAAGTTTCCATACCTGTAAAGAAGCAATAGCGAAAAGGCACAAAGAGACACCAGTATAATGTTGCGGAACTCGTGGAATCGAGAGAAGCTGCTGTATACCTCCCAAATCAACGAATAGTGTGGCAAACTTTCGATGAGAAGCGAGTGCACAAACCAGCCTTAAAACATCTGCAGCCATGGCCAGCGCTTCAACACTTTCCCCAGGGCGGGCATATCTCCTCAGCAACTCAAGGCAAACTTCAACACCTCTCTCTTGCAGTATAGGTCCCAGTATGTCGATATACTCTCCAAGCTTCTCCAAGCATTGCACGCAGTATTGCGCTTTCAAGAAGTTCAAGCTTTTCGGATCCCGAATATGTTCTGTTTCATCCTTTTCACCTTCCTGGATTTTTGGCTCCATCTCCTTTGGCTTGGCCCTCTCTTTCAAGGAAGATTCCAACCTGGAAATTCCTAACAGACATAAGAGAAAAAAAAAAGGAAACGGAAGAAAACAAACCTGACAACCCCGGCCGCATCTACAACTGTTGCCGCTGCAGCCTCTGCAGCAGCCAACACAGATGCTTCGTCTTCAGTTGTAACAAGTACCTGTAAAACAGTCTCTAAGAAAATGTCTTATGAAAGGACGTAAGTTCTACCTCAAGTGCTGCGGCCCTCACAAGTTCGGCAGCCGCATCTCCGGCGGCCTTGATCGCCTCGTCGGAAGCATTTGCCCCTTTAGCTTCTGCCTGCGCAGCAGAGACCGCTCTCCTGGCAAACACCGAAACATCTACCTTCCCAGCCATGTATATTTTCACATCTTCATTCGTGCTGACCTGCGTCCTAGCTTTCTCCTTTCTGACATGCTTCTCATCTGTACCACTGTCGGACAGCTTCGTTTTCCCCCGACTTTTCCCCCCACCTCGATCACGTACCTCCGGCACTCTTAAACTCTCATCATCGTGGTTGCCTCTGATTTTACCTTCCGGAAAGTCTTTCTTACGAGGTTTCTCCTCAGGTATACCGTCAACCATATCTTCTACAATCTGTCTCCCTGAACTTTCACCGCTGCCACCTTCAAAATTCGTTACTCGTTTGTCGAGTGTAGCAGCATCGACATGTTGCCGAGGCCGTATTCGACCTTCTTTGTGGCCGTTAGCTACACCACCGTTGCCATGGTCAGGTTTAACCGAGTCACCAAAGGTCCATACTCGTAAGTAACGCATGAATTTCGCAGGAAGGCCAGTGGCAAGAATTTCTTCCGCAACTTCCTGACTGCTGCCAAAACAGTTTTTTAAGCTCCAAAGTCATATAAGAAAGGAAGAAAAGAAAAAATCTTACCCGGAGAGGGCACATGAAAAAAGCCCAATAGCAAAAGTCCTTAATATTTCGCCATCACTCGGCTTCTTATTTGTGAACACGCATGGCCTATCTAGTTCTTCCGTCACAAGCTGCTTAATCAAGGAGAGTAGCAAATCTTCGAAGGAATAGGAATACTGCATAAAAAGGAAAATTTTGTTAGCTTCTATATCTGATGTAGAATAAGAACTCACCATCCAGCAAGACACGCAAATAAGTAGTAGTCTAGCGGCAGCAGCCCGGAGAGGCAATGGATCATTCTCCCTTAGCAGAATACCCGAAATTGTATCAATGAAATACTCATCTTCCTGGAGATGGAGAAGAAATGAGCAGGAAAAAAAATAAAAACCATTGAGCTTACTTTGATCATGACCAAAAGCCTCCCTATAGTGTGAGACGATCGCGAGAGTGTAGTTTCCGACGCCCCAAGCTTGAGCTGGAACCTGGAGAGAAGCCAAAGAAAAACATTACCGATTGAATTTCCTCGATTGCCCTAGAGAGAGCCTGGAACGCTGGAGATTTTCCCTCCACATACCTCGTCTCCTCCTGCTCGAGGATCGCGGCTAGCTTGCTCACAAGCGCCGCGGGGGGATTGGGCCGGGAGTCTAAGATCCCCCGCATTAGCTTGTGCGCCTCCTCCACGACGTGATCCCGCCCGGGGCTGTCGCTCCCGAAGCTCTGCAAGAATGCCTGCCCCACCCCTTCCTCATCCAAGAACAGCATCCCAGCTCCCGGCCCTAAAACCTCCTCTCCCTCCGCCATAGCCTAGCTCCGCTCTTACACTTGCTTTCTCCTCCTGGAAGCCCTCGAGCTTTTTAAGTGGACTCCGTACTACAGTACGGTACATGTGGACCCTGGATCGATTCCCTTGCCAGACAATCATTCTCCTACCCTAATATTCGAGAATATCCCTCTCGTTTGAAATTCGTTTCTTCGGCGTTATCTCTATTCACAACACAGGGATTTCCAAGCAAACCAAGAACAAACAAATCGAGACGATCAATCGGGCACTCTCACTATAACTCACGGTAGCGTCGCCTCCTCGGCTCCTTTAAGAAACGCTTTGGCGTCCGGAGCTCTCGACGCCGACAGGAACCTCAAACTCATCTCGTAGGCCGAGAAGATGGCAGCGTTCACCAGGTACGCTCGAGCCAGCGCGGTCCCCAATCCACGCCACAGCACCCCTCTCCCCTCCTCGCGGACGCTAGTCCTTAAGCAATCCACGATGCCCGTGTATCTCATCTCGGCTCCGGGACCCTGGGACTGGAGCCTTGTCTTGATCACGTCGAACGGGTAGCACACGATCCAGCTGAGAGCCCCCGCAAATCCTCCCGCCGTGAGCAGCGTGAGGATCGACTCACCACCGTTTTTCCGGCAGCTCGGGTGGAGCTTCTCGCGCAAGAACTCGTAGGAGCTGAAGTAGACTGCGTGAGCCGGGGCGTCCCTGATGAGCGTGATTCCAAGGCCGCGGTAGAGCCCCCGGAGGCCCTCTGTCTGGGTGATCTTCTGCGCGACTTGGAGCGGCCCGTGAAGGTTGGCGGACTTGGAGCATCCTTTGAGCGATCGCTGGATTTGCAGCTTGATCTTGACGAGTTCCACAGGTGTCAGTATCAGCGTCTGGAGCGCACCTGTTCCAAAGCCAGCGACAGCGACTCTTTGCAGAGGAAGCGTCTCGTTTCGTTGATCCGGTGACTGTACTCGACAAAGAGTAGCGTAAGTCTGGAAGGCGACGGCATTCTGTGCACATTAAAAAATTAGTATTGCGCAAAAGACCAGCTTTAGAAAGAAACCACCACGAGATTTGTGATAAAAAAGACGTGTCAGAGACAAATTTCTCACTCTCAGGGACACCAAACTCCCAAGTTAAGCAACTCAGAGCACGACACTCACCAACAGGAACAATGGCAGCAATACACTAGCAAGCAGCATTGTCTACTTTGAAACAATTGTACCTGGCAACCGGCACAAATTTTCTTTCTCAGGTAGCTAAATGCGAAACCTGGCATGAAAATCGATCCAAACAGGATTCCAACAAGGAGCTCTGAAGTAAAAATCATAAAAATTGGTACCTGGAGGGCAACGGTGGCCAGCGGCGACGACATTCCCTTGTAGAGCGCGCGCACGCCTTCTGTTCTGAGCAAATGCCTCACCATTCCAGTGGCGGATGACGGCACCGACGAGAGAGCGTGGCGCGGCTGCTGCTGCCGGATCCTGATGGTATCAAGCGGATGCCCCGAGATCACGCCCGCCATTCCTCCCAGCCCGCCCGCCACGAACTCCCTCCCCCAGGATTTCTTCTGATCATATGCCTCCATCGCTGCCAAGAACCGAAATATTTCGGTGGAAGGGAAGATCAATCGATCGCACCGATCCCCGCCGATTGATCGATATCGCTGGCGCAAATCTAGAGGCGATGCCGCTCCTCCCTAATCCATCCGCCAGGGCGGGGATTTCCAATGGCGTCGGGGAATAGGCAATGGCTCCGCCGAGGCCACACACTGGGCGCTTGCCCTACAGAGAATAGCCACATCACCCTTCCTGCCAAATGGGAGCGCCGCCTAGACGCGGGCGGATATTCCGGTGGCGTTTCCAAGGTGTCCCAAGGGAAAGCGAGAGAGCCTTTACTTATTCTGGACTAGAATCTCCTCTATAGAAACAAAGCCTTGTCCAGCTTTCAAACCATTCCATGGGAGATTCTTCTTCGTCCATGGAAGATAAAAGGCAAAATGGCATCAGCAATGAGTTTGTCCGTATGTACGAAAAATAGGCCTAAAATATGTGTCCGTACGTTTTGCGTAACTAAGCCCTAAAATACACAAAACTTTTGATCGCGGGGATCGAACCGCGACATTTCCCTCGTGCTTATCGAGGCGAATGCACAGGGTTATCGTGGAGGGAGGGAGGAAGGTTTAGCGCAGGCGCTATGGCGGCAGCGGCTTCGATGCGAGGGCTCGTCCCAGCTCTCGCCTGTGATCGTCGCGGCGGCGGCTTCGATCGCGGCATTCCTACCAGGATCGCGTGTTCTTCCGAGAATCTGGCAGATGGAGCGCCTGATCTCAGCGTCAGCGTCAATGGATTGAGGCTCCCGAATCCCTTCGTCATCGGATCGGGGCCCCCGGGGACGAATTACACGGTCATGAAGAAGGCATTCGATGAAGGCTGGGGCGCCGTGATCTCCAAGACGGTAAGTCGCTCGATCCCTTGCTCATCTGGATAAATCTGGAATCTTTATTCTCGGGAATGTTGGGCAATATCCACTGTGCGAATTTTTTTTCTTGTTTTGGACAGTTGTCTCTGGATTCCACGAAAGTGATCAATGTAACACCAAGGTATGCTCGCATGCGATCGGGGAATGGTCCCAAGGACGTGATCGGGTGGGAGAACATCGAGCTTATCAGTGACAGACCTTTCGAGACAATGCTGGCCGAGCTGCGGAGATTAAAGCAGGAATACCCCGACCGGATTTTAATCGGCTCGATCATGGAAGAATACGACAAGGATGCGTGGGAAGAAATCATCGAACGAGTTGAGGCCACTGGTGTTGTAAGTTTGATCACACTTGGTTGCTATTGCTCTAACATAGTTTTTTCTCTTCCAGGATGCTTTGGAGATCAACTTTTCGTGCCCGCATGGAATGCCCGAGCGAAAAATGGGAGCTGCTGTTGGAAAGGATTGTGATCTTCTCGGCGAGGTTTGCAGCTGGATAAATGCCAAGGCAACAGTTCCAGTCTGGGCTAAAATGACACCAAATGTCACAGACATCACTCAGGTAGTGGAGCTCTCACACCTTTTTTATTCTTTTTTTTAGTGCGTGATCTTTCTACTCATGGTGCATTTTATAGCCTGCGAGAACAGCAATCGAAGCTGGCTGCGAGGGCTTGTCAGCAATCAACACTATCACGAGCATCATGGGTATCAACCTCGATACTTTACGACCTGAGCCATGCGTTGAAGGGTAATACCTTTGAGTTCTAAAACTGGGATTTTCACGGTCAAACGTTGTTATCTCAGGTACTCTACACCTGGCGGATACTCGTCCAGAGCTGTGCGTCCAATCGCTCTTGCAAAAGTGATGGCGATTGCGCAGATGCTCAAGTCCGAGTATCCCGATCGCAACATTTCTCTCTCTGGCATTGGTGGAGTTGAATCTGGAGACAATGCTGCGGAGTTCATTCTTCTAGGAGCTAATACAGTACAGGTTAGCTTGCTTGCTTGCTTGCTTGCTTGCTTCTTTCGACTTCTAGGCTTGTTTTCTCAGGTTTGCACAGGTGTGATGATGTATGGCTATCCACTCGTGAAACGACTTTGTAAAGAGCTGCAAGCGTTCATGGCCAAGCATAACTTCACATCCCTGGACGACTTCAGAGGGTATTCTAAACTCTTTCTCTCTCCTTGACTCGTGAATTTTGGTTCCAGGACATCTTTGCAGTACATGACTACACACACCGATCTCGTCCAAAGGCAGCAAGAGGCGATTAGGAGCCGACGCGCTGCTCGCAAGGGCCTAGCCTCGGACAAGGACTGGACAGGCGATGGTTTTGTGAAGGAGACGGAGCTCATGGTTTCCAATTGAAAGTACTTCTGTACAGAACAAGCAAAGTAAGTATTTTTGCAATAATTTCCCGAAGCTTTGATTAAATCACTGACTTTGCAGCATAAATAAAATGATACATAATAAAAGAAGAATTACGGAAAGAAAGTTCCATATACGAGTGAACCGTTTTCCCTAACTAGAGAAATAACAAAACCATAGCTATTGATTACTTGATTTGCTACTATATTATTAAAACAACATTCACATTCTTTTCTATCCATTCCATCTTTGCAAGAATGACTTTCCCGCTTCGTAAGTCGCCCAACTGATGGCTGCCGCTGGGGTGTGGAACAAAATCCTGGGCATCATCCCTTTAAACAGTGCCCCTATCCCTTCGTGCGACGCGATCGTCCTCGCTACTTCTAGCACCGAGCTGGAGCTGAATCTCTCGGCGCCACAAACTCCCTACACGAGCAAAGCTCCAAAAGAGAGAAAATTTTAGCCTTCCGAGTGTGCGGAGGGGCGTCCTACAAAACTCCAAAGCTGGACAGTCAATCATGCAGCTCTTGGGAATCTAAAACAAGCCAGGAAATCTAGAACAACGAGCAAGCAATCTAAGCTACTAAGAGAAATAGAAACATGACAAACCTCATCGAATCTAGAAAACATCTAAACTAAACCGAAGAGCACACAATCAATCTCAAGGCAAAAGAATCGAGCATACCTGGCACTGGAGCCGGGTCTTGACAACATCCAGCGGCGTGGTGACAGCGCTGGCGAGAGCTCCCGCGGATCCACCAGCGACGACGTGAGTAACGAGGTGTTCCTCACTCATACCACCAACACCACCACCACCACCCTGGAGCTCCCCGAGCGCCTTCTTGGCCGCCTCGTACGTAGCAAAGTGGACGCCAGTGAACGGGACGTTCATCACCACCGTGGTCCTATACGAGGCATAGAAGCCTCTCAATCCCTCGCTCCTCGCGATCTTCCTGACGCAATCGCCCAGTCCGGCGTAGGGGCTGTTCTTGAGCTGGAGCCTTTGCTTCACCACGTCCATTGGAGTGGAGACCGCGTCGCTGGCAATGGTGGCGCAAGCTCCAGCGGACATATGAGCGATTGGATGGTAGCCCCCTCCTCCCCCACCATCCACCTCAAATCTCCTCTTGCATTCTTCGTAGGCTGCGAAGTAGACCGCGTGAGAAGGCCCGGCTCCCAGAACCATGGCTCCCACGCCCCGGTATAATCCCAGAGGACCCTCATGCTTGAGCAAGCTTACGAGCGATCTGGAAATCGTGCTGCTCGATCCAACTGTAGCAGCGGCAGTAGCTCCCGACCCTCCGCACGGGCTTGTGATCATTTGGATTCTCGTCTTGAGCGTGTCCACTGGAAACATCGCGACGTGCTCCACGATCCCGGCCAAGGAGCCGGCTAGCATATGTTGCCGGAAACCGAGCTCGCCTTCTTCTCCATCTTCTTGCTGCTGCTCGACTCGGCGATCTTGCACGACCTGTAAGGGATTCTTGTGGAGCGGCACTCTTTCCCGCAATTCCGATGCTGTGTCGGTCGCCATGGCCGGGAATCTGCGAGGATCCGACGCTCAATCCATCGCAAGAACTGGGAAGAGTCGAAATATTTCCAGAGAGAATGGAAAGGAACAGAGCCTCCCAAGATCTTCTCTCAAATAATTCAGCCCGGAAGAAAGAAAAGGAGTGGACGACGACGGAAGAGTCTCTCGTCCTAGCGACGTAATCGCTGCATAAGCACGAGGATCAAGCTATGGCGCTGCGTTGCCGCACATACCCTAAGATGAGAGTCACTAAGAAACGAGGAATTCCCCTTGAGTCGCGATGGGATCGATCTGCCCGCCGTTACGTTGCGCGGATGGTACGATCCTCCAAAAGCTGCGCTTGCTGCTACTATGATCCGTGCTAGCGCTAGGATCAAACAAGCGCTCTTCACAGCTCTCTAGGGCTGTACATTTCCGTCGTGTTCTAGCCCTCCCATTACATTGGCGCGCGAGAAAGAGCTTCCATAGCCCTCTCCATCCATGCCGTCCGTGCGCCAGGCGCATCCACGGTCGCTGTTGCGCCAAAACAGCAAGCTACGTGGGGCGATCGGGACTGTCCAGGTTTAGCCTGCCGACGGACGCGATGATGACCCCTGACACGTCGGATTTAGGGCTCGCCGCGTCGCACTACGTGGCGGGGAGCATATCCTGCGGATATTTTGGGGTATATTCTGCGTGAAAGTTTAGTGAAAGAGAGGGTGGACCACATATCCAACTTTGTTTCTTGTCATTCATATCGTGGGTGGGCCTCCAACAAAGCTGCTCCAAGCTACAATGACAACATTTTGTATGGTTTTAATTGTTTATTCCTTTTGCGATTTTGACCTAATAGCCCACCGGTGGAGGTTGCAAACGTCTTTCACCATCTTTCCTTTGCATTGTGAACTTTTATGTCCATACAATGAGCTGCTGTGTTGTTTGTACGCTTGCGTGGGCTCGATTGACGCTTCTTCGAGAAATCTCAGTCGCGGACATTTATCCGAATCGCGTGCCGAGCACAAGCTCCAGTCCCACACGCAATAATGCAACCCCACTTTTCTAATGTCCAGCCAATCCCATTTTGCCTATCAAAGGAAACGTATAAAGACTTCTTGTAGTCAAAGTGTCACTTTTGTCAGTGAGAGACACACAAGTTGTAACAAAGAAAAATGAGAGGAAAAAGCATTAGAATAATTTGCTACATGTAGCATGCTTTGCTTAATAGTAGTATCATTCATAATCAAATTGATCAATAATTATAAACATGTTTATAATTTATATATCAAGATTAATATTATTGCATATCAATAGTAGAATAAACAAGAATATACTAGAAAGTGTTTAGGAAAGTTTATAAATTTAAATGAATACAATAGTAAAATATTCAAGTATATTCCAAGTATCACTGATAAAATTAACTAATATTAGTCAATGAAAGTCAACAATAGTTTTGAAGATTTTCCTTAACCCTTGAGAAATAAATTGATGTGTTGAAAGTCCTCTTCAAATCGATCACGCCTTGATCTGTGTGGATAAGAGGTACGAGTCACTGTTGTGCTCTCGACCGTAGAGAGAATGGCGAGAGGATCATGGGTACTATGCGTCATGCTGCTCGACATCGCTTTGGCATTTGCAGCAGATCCACAACACCTGGTGCAGGACCTTCCAGGGCAGCCAGCAGTGGGATTCAAGCACTACGCAGGCCAAATCCAGATCAATGCCACTGCAGATCGTTCACTCTTCTATTGGTTTTATGAGGCAGATCATCCAAATGCTTCCTCATTGCCATTGGTGCTATGGCTCAATGGAGGTTTGTAATAAGATACAACCTGTAGATCGAGTTCTCTTTTCTCTCGCAGGGCCAGGGTGTTCATCCATTGGAGCTGGAGCTCTCGAAGAAATCGGCCCTTTCCGTGTGAATGCTACAGCCACAGGGTTGTTCCTCAACCCATATTCCTGGAACAAAGGTCTTGCTTGTGATTAGGTCAAAGTTAAATTCAATAGTAATACTAGTTTACAGCTGCAAATTTTATCTTTTTGGAGGTTCCTTACAACACCGGATTCTCGTTTACAAATTTGCTATCAGATGATGGGTTCTGGACAGACAATCAAACAGGTCAGTAAACTTATGAATTTAAGTACTTTTGTATTATGAAGTTTTGACTGTGCAACCACAGCTGTGGATTCGTTGTTGTTTCTCATCGAGTTTCTATCCAAGTTCTCAGAGTATAAGCAGAACGAATTTTATATTGCAGGGGAGAGCTTTGCAGGTCCGATATTTTCCATCCTTTATGGTTTTTTTTCATGTCCTTATATAACAGGGCATTTTATTCCAACATTGGCTTCTAAGATTATTGGGCATAATCAGCAAGGTGACAATCCAATCAAGTTTAAAGGATTTGCAGTAAGTGGTTTTCATGTGCTTGGAGAAATTAAAATCCATGGTTTTTTTCCTTTCACTAGATTGGCAATCCTTCTACAGATGACTTATACGACGTCCCTGGTAACAGAGAGACACTCTTCGCCCATGCGGTGATCTCCGAGGAACTTTATGAAGGAGAGAAGCTCTACTGTAACAAACCAAATGCAACCGAAGAAGAATCCATGAAATGCTCCAACATCTCTTTGCAAATCTTTACCTTGCAACTCCAAGTCAGTCCTTACAATCTTTACTCAGTGCCGACGTGCAATCCCTGCTTCGATGCTGTGACAAACTATCTCAATCTTCCGGAAGTCCAAGCTGCATTACACGTTCAGACCAGGCCAGTGCGCTGGACTAGATGCAAGTAAGTACAAATTACTAATAACTTGCTAATATCATTCTTTGCAGCCCAAGTATCGACAGGAGCTACTTGCCAATCGACAAGCAGCGGTCAATGCTTCCAGTGTACAGAGATCTGTTTGAGCATAATCTAAGAATATGGATTTACAGGTTGGTACATAAATGTTTTGATTATACTGCATTTTGTGAAATATTTCTTTAATTGCAGTGGGGATGTGGATAGCGTGGTTTCCACACTCTCGACTCGACGCTGGCTCAAAGCACTCAACCTGAGCGTCGTGACCTCATGGTATGGATGGGGGTACCCGGGCGAGGGGGTGAGTGAATCTTTAGAGTATCATTTCAATCATCTAGAGTTTGATGATGTTTTGCAATTTAAGATTGCCTATCTGGGAGGGCGAGCTGAGGTGTATGATTCATTGACATTTGCGTCGGTGAGAGGTGCTGGGCATCAGGTTCCAAGAGACAAGCCAGGAGAGGCGCTGTTTCTCTTTAAGCATTTCATTGCAGGGACACAACTTCCACCAGCAAATGATCTACTTCTTGTTAATAGATTGTAGAGATCTTTGCCTATAGATAAAGGATATATTCGATGGAATGCCTTCCATCGGAGAAGCCCAATGCCGAGACTCGCCCATCTTCGCGTCTCTCTTGCGGAGCTCCGGATCGGCCGCGGAGGTGGAGCGCGCACATTCGCAGATCGCAAGAAATGGCGGAGATCGCGAGACCTTTCTTGGGAATCTGCTGGTTCAGATGTATGGGCGATTTGGGCGCGTCGAGAATGCCGCGGCTGCGTTTGAAAGGATCGCCATCAAGAACGTCTACTCCTGGAATCTCATGCTCGCAGTATTTGCCGACAATGGGCATTTGGAACGAGCGATGGAGAGTTTTGAAATGGCGCCGGAGAAGGATGCGTGCTCGTGGACGACAATGCTCGTGGCTTACGCGCGCAATGGTTTTGTGGATCGAGCGAAGGATCTCTTTGATGCGATGCCGCGGCGAGATCTTGTGGCCTGGAACTCGATGATCGCAACTTATAGCCAGAACGGGCATCCCTGGCAAGCGATCTCTCTGCACAGGAGGATGAACCTCGAGGGGATCAAGCCCGACGAGCTGACGATCATCAGCCTCCTGGATTCCTGCTCGCTGGGAATTGGCGATCGCTCTTTGCTCGACGAGGCAAAGTCGATACACTCGACGATCATCCGGCACAGCAGCGAGCTCTCCACCAGCCTCAAAGTTTGCAACGCTCTCATCCACCTCTACGGCCGATCCAAGCTCCTCGAGCAAGCCATGGAGATCTTCCAGGGAATGGTTACCAGGGATTGCATCTCCTGGACATCGATCGTCGCGGCGCTCAACCAGAGCGGCGACTCCAAGCGCGCGCTTGCCGCCTTTCGATCAATGGAGCTCCACGGGATCAAGCCCAGCAGCGTCACCATGATCGAGGCCCTGGACGCGTGCGCGATCGCGGGTGCCATAGCCGAGGGCCGGGAGCTCCACGCGAGGACGGTGGCGGCGGGCTCATTCCTGCGAGACCTTAGCGTACGGAACGCGGTTCTTAGCATGTACGGCAGGTGTGGCAACTTGGTGGAAGCCCGGGTGGTGTTTGAGGAGATGGAGATTCCCGGGCGGGACGTTGTGACTTGGAACGCGATGGTGGCGGCGTATGCTAGAAACGGCGCTGGATGGGAAGCTTTCGAGCTGTTCCAGCGGATGAAGCTCGAGGGGATTGATCCGGATGGTATCACCGTGGTTTGCATCGTGTCGGCGTGTAGCCACTCGGGGCTGGCTCGCCATGGTTTGAGCTGCGTCGCGTCGATCTATGGCGACTTTGGAGTGGAGGCGAGGGCGGAGCATCTGAATTGCGTGCTGGATTTGCTGGGGCGGATTGGGTCTAGCGTGGAGGAAGCTGGGGATTTGAGCAGCGTGGATGAGGTTGGAGTGAGGACTTTGCTGGGAGCTTGCCGGGTTCACGGTGGTGGTCGTGGTTTGATTGGCTCGTCGGGAAATTTTGGTGGTGCTTGTTCGACGGAGCGGTATGTGATGATCTCCAACATCTGTGCTCAGAAGTAGCATTTTATTGTTTATCAAAAATGTAAATTCAAAAAAAATCTAATTCCACCAAGTCCATGCAATCTTCTTCATTGCCAATTCTCCATTTTGTAATTGGAAACCCATGGCTCGAGTTCAGATTTGAAGGGCAATTGGCAGGATCTCAGTCTCACGAAGCTCATGGGCTGCTAGCACCAAAGTCTCAGATAGGAAAATCAAGAAAAAAATAAAATAAGGCACAAAGTAACAAGCAATAATTGTTCCACACTTTGCAGTTTCACCAGATTGTCAATGCTGTGACATGGATTTTCACAGCTTAATTTTAATTTCTGTAAATTTGAAGCAGCTAATGTTTTTGTGAATTGGAATCATTCTATCCATTCTCGCTAAAAAAATGCTTGATGGTTATGCTCCTCCTATGATTAAAACTTTCAGAATTTCATTTATTAAAATAAATTAATTTTTTGGATCAAAATCAAAAATTTTTATTCTGAGAAAAATATAAACATCACAAAACTAATCACATTTTTTTAGGTATTTTTGGGGTAATTTCAGCTTCTTTTTTTATCACTTATATGTATGTGCAATTGCTCTATAAATTAATTTTTTTATTGCAAAAAACTACAATAGCTAATTTAGATTTAAAGTAGTACAACTATATTTAAATAAATTTTTAGCTATAAATTTAGTTTTAATTAGCAGTAATAATATATTTGAAAAATAAGATATAATTTACTGAGATAAACTAGTTTTTAATTAATATTAATAACTTCGAACTTTTTTGTTAGAAAATAAGATATAAAATTTAGTAAAAAGTTAAGTTAGTAGTAGCAGTAAGGATATAAGTAATAATTCAGTAAAAACTCTCTTATTTGAAAGTAACCCTGTAATGAGTTAAAATTTCAACCTCAGATTTTATTATAGTTAAGTGTTTACTTTGGCTAGCTTTCATTGCTAACAATATATTTTTGCCATGGATGGCCATGGGTGTATCATTGGTGCTCACAGAACATATCTCAAGCAGGTATAAAATGATTTTGGTCAACACTCTTATGTTCACAAGTTTGGGCAGTGGTTAAAACTTTATTGGAATTTGTTACTATGATACAAATGATTGGAGAATTTTAAATCTGACATCAATTTAAATGTGTTTTTTAAAAGTTTTTATAGCATTAAACCTTGATTACAAACAAATTAGAGAAAAATTTAACAATGAGGAATATCTTAGAATATACTTGGATATTCTAAGTATATTCTTTACACTTCACACAATATCTAATGTAAATTATATCTAGGTTTTCTAAAGAAAATAAAAAATAGTACTCTCATCTTTCAAGATTAAAATAATTTCTTTGCAATGTGCACAGGGCATTCACCCATCACTGGTGAGTGACAGGTTCGCTCAGTCTTTTTTCTTTTTTGCTTCTTTTTTTTTCTTTTGCTATTAATGGAGGACTGGCTTTGTGCACAAGAGGTGTACAGCATGGTCTCGAGCTTTGGATCAATCTCTCCTGCAAGTTGAAGTTTGTGTTTTCTTTGTTCCATCAGAGTATCAGGATCGACCCAAAGTGAATCTGCACTTCGTGTGAGCTGTGCCTTTGCTTCCAAAAGCTGGCCAGCCTTCCAGAGTATAAGCGAATTTCCAGTTGAATGGTCACGTCAAGATACATGGTTGGTGGTGCTTGGAGACGGTGTCATGGTGTGAAACGTGTAGCCATCGCCAGGCAGCCTCTCAACGAGCAACACGGCCCGTTGTCATGAACACGACTACATTATTGCATTTTGAATGGGTGTTAAAGTTATAAACAAACAATACAAAATAATTTGTCACAGCAAATATTACAATGCAATATCATATTGTGTGAAAGCCAAGAACTACTTTGGGACTCTCCTTAATGCTCTACGTATGCGATCTCCAGTCCACAGCATAATCTCTGACGCCGAGAAATAGCGTGTGAAGAGATGGTCTTGTAGCAACACTTCTCTGTCCTGGTGATGCAGCCCAATGACAATCTCTATTGACTTGGGCCTTGGCGAGGGCAGCATTGCAACAAATGGCATGTGTGGTGGAACTTTGCTGGGCAGAAAGCAAAGTTGGGAAAGTGCTCCTCCTCGCCACCCAAAATCGAGACCATACATGTGGAAATTGGTCATGGTCGTGGACATGATTCCCCGCCTCCAGTGAAGTTCCTTGTGAAGATGAGCAGAATTCAGCTCCAACCAGTCCAGCATGCTCTGCACCGACGCTCTATTGCAGGAGATCTTCGCTTTGTGTATGAGATGCGCAGCATACGATAAGTCCGAAGCAACTATGTCGCCAGCTCGAGACGCATGAACCTGACAATTGGCAACGGCATTGCCGAAATAATTTTGGGGGACGACTGCTAGCTTCTGGCCACGCAGGTTGATAGAGAACAAGATAGCCGTGTCAAGGTGTTGAGGAACTCCCTGTGCACGTAGCATGGACGACCATAGCAGGGACAACACGGCCTCAAAGCCCGTAGCTTTTCCACCGTTGTAGGCAAAGGCGCCGGTTTGAGCTTCTCGCTTGCAAGCGTCTATAGCAGCTTGCTCCATTCGAAGTGTCACCAGATTGCAAGGCGTGATGTTGCTTGGATCAATTTGCTTGTCGCGTGCAGCAGCGTCAATGATGAAAGGCACCGGTGCGTCCACCTTTGGAGGATCCCGAGCCAAGAGCGCCCGTTCTCTTCCAAAGCTCTCACAAAATAAAGTGCTGCCACGGTGAACTTTAGCCCATGCGTTGAGGAAGTTGTAGAGGCTGGAGCCGTCCAAAACGATGTGCAAAAAATGGACTGCTATGGCAATGCTCCCACAGTGAAACTGTGTCAATTGGAACTTGATAAGAGGAACATCGCTGGGGTTGACAACTCCGGTGTCGAGTGATAAATCTATGTCTAGTGGACACTGGCGTATGTCTTGCCAATCTTGGAAGCTCGAGTCCACCTTTGACTCCACAAAGTGGACACCTTGACCGTTCATGTTTACCTCGATCCTTCCACTCTCATTTACCCTGAGCCTTCCAGCGAGAACAGGATAAAATACTAGCACCTTGGAAAGTGAAGACCTGAGGCTGTCTACAAGGCTCTTGGCTCCTGTGGAAGGCGAGAAGCAATCCTTGAAGAAGAGCACAAGTGTGGAGAATTCTGGCTTGCTGTAGCAAAGATCAATGCTTGAGAGAAAATGAGGTGAAGGTGGTGGAACTTTCTTAGGCCGAACGACATGGAAGGCATATTGAACAACTTTACTGCTGCTTGATTGATTGCAATCTTGAAGAGATTCAGAATTCATCTTACTAATCGCTTCCATTTCTGGTGCAGCAGTGTGTAAGGCATGATTTTTTATAGTAACTGCAAGCTTTCACTTTCCCCAACGTGAAACGGATGCAACAGCTAGGTGGTGGATTCTGGTTTAAGCATCACTTGTTTAAGCAGAAGTGGAATCTATATAATATAAATTATTGCTTTTCCATAACACGTTAGGGCTATATAAACGTCAGTTTTTTGTTTTGATTTCGCTGTGGCGATGTCGTTGTTATGTATTTCTATTTCTTTGTGGCTATGGCATAAACTAATTGGCAGTCAGCAAAAAAGATGATGTCATATATGGAGTAGGCCTATTATATACTGCTCTCGTGGCCTCGTTTCACATCTGGCGTAAAAATTATTGGTGCAGCATCAAAGACTTGGCAAATGGTCAACTGGCACCGCTAGACTTGGTCACCTTCCAAACACTGTAATGCATGGGAACGTTCGCCGCCCGTGGGGTTCGAACCCAAGGTTAAAAGCCTGGCCGGCTTGGGATTCTTAAGCAAGCTTATTCAATAGCACCGTTTTCGAATCGAGGAAACCTGCCGCGACTAGCAATGCCTGTTTGCAACGATAGTTTGGTAATAATCTTAACCATTAATTAGCTAACCTTAGAATATGCTACGCTTTTCCTGGTTAACTCGTCACCAAAATGCTGGAGAAGCTCGGGGATCCGGTAGATTTCCTTGTGTCATGCACTGAATTCTTCTAATCCCCTTTTGGCGCAGGCAGAGCTCCGGGCTAATGTGTTTGAGACGCCAATGCCTTTTCTCTCAGCGATCGGCAGCTGCAATGATCGAGCAATATCAAGGAAGCGTTTGTGATATGCGAGTGCTCTTATTTGCCGGAATCCAACGTTGTGTACCACTTTCATTCTGAAATTTATTATTGTTTTCACAGAAAAAATCGAAATGTTTTTGTTTACAGTTGAGGTTGATGGCTCAGATCTCAGTTTCAAGCTATAACGTGACTGCACGTGAAATTTGTTTAGAAACTTTCGAGACATGTTTGATGAGTAAGAAACATTGCATCCCAAGACATTTCCAGGACACTTCATTTTCATGGCGAGCCATTTCTTGGAAAGTTTTTACACAAGCATTGGAAGCGTGAGTGTGAGGAATTTGCAGCCACAGAGTCATCTAATATCAGTCTCCAGGCACCAAGTCCGTATTTTCTCTGTTTTCATTGTCCCATTTAAACCCAATGGTTCATGCTGTGTAATTATCAGGATCTCAGTTCCGGATGGAGTCCAACAAGATCAAGCCCAAGATAAAACAAGAAGCAATTTGTGCCATACTTTGCGGCTGTAATATTTTTTCATGTTATTCCCAGGCAAAATCGATCTAACAAGAGGGTTCTTTTTGACATCCATCTTATAAGGCTTAGAATTTTGGAGAGGGCCGCGCGTAAGCAGAGCCCTCAACTTCCACAAATTACAAAGACCTAACTACGTCGTTATATTAATGTGGCTGTAGTTTACTGGTTAGAATTCCACGTTGTAGCCATGGAGACATGGGCTCGAATCCCAGCAGCCACATTCTTTTTCGCTCCATGTTAACGCGCATTAATACAGGGCAGAATATACTAGGGTTTGGGTAAACAATGGACGATGCCGCGCGGGAGCTCATGGAGCTCAAGGCGCTCATCACCAAAACGCTGGAGAAGCGCGGCGTCCTGGCCAGGATCCGGGTGAGTGCCTGTCGATTTCCCTGTGCCAGATCTGGGCCTGCATTGTGTGAATTCTTCTCATTCTCTTTGGCGCACAGGCAGAGCTCCGGGCCAATGTGTTTGCTGCCATCGAGGAGCAAGAGCGCGCCGATGGAGACGCCAATGCCTTTTCTCTCATCGGCGGCTGCAATGATCGAGCAAAGGACCTACACTCGTCTCAAGCCGGCAAGTGGAGAAGAAATTCTTTTGTTGTCCAAACTAATCCCCGGGTCCTTTCGATCAGGAAAGCTCTTGAGTGGCTTGATATGCGAGTATCTGGAGTGGTGCTCTCTCGATCGGACCCTCAAAATCTACTTGCCGGAATCCAACATCGTGAGTGGTTTTAATACCTCTTTCGTTGCTGTCTCACTGTCCCGATTTGTCCAGCCCAGAGGATTTTCCAGAGCTGAGCTCCAAGACAAGCTTGGATTGAATGGAACCGACGAGTCGTCTCCTCTTCTCCTAAAGATTCTAGACGAGTACCTAAAGCTCGAGGTAGATCACTGGCAAGTATCATGTCTTGCTAGTATTGTCTCTTGCTCTCGATCAAGCTTTTTGGTTTCTTACTGGAAATATTTCACGCAGAAACGAGGAGGAAGAGGCCAAGCGCTAAAGCAGCCATCGTCTAGCACTGGAGAATGTATAGAACAATTAAGGGGACTCAACATCGGCTCTTAGAAAGGTACGTAGCTCGATCAAAAACGAATTTTGCTTGACAACTTTCGCTTTTCTTGCAGCCTCTTACCTTTCTATGCTTGTACAATAAAGTGAGACACAGCCACACACAGCAGCAGCGTACTTATACTTTTCATTCGCTAGCTTGAATGTTTGTTTGTGATTCAATGGAAGGAAATTACAGCTCTCCATGGCAGTGGGAGGAACGAGACAACGCTGTGCTTGCCTGCCGCTACACAGAGATTAGATCGGAAAGAGAGAAATGGTTACCAGCGTCACAAAATTGGGCTGAGTTGCCCATTACTGGTGGCATTATCGGTGTTCTTCTTTCGTCTATAGAATAAAACGTACGCTGCGGGACTCTTGAGATGATCTTCGCTTGCTGGGGTGACGTGACTGTCATCGAAATTGTACCACTGGCCGTCAAGGTCCAGCTGAAAAGAACAAAAAGGAAACAAGAAACTTTAGATGAGAAACCTCTATAGATCGTTCTTACGTTCACAAATGCTGTGTAATGGCCACCTCCTGTTCCACCGTAATGGTTGCTCACTGCGTAGAGCTCGTACTCGTGCTGCTGTGGAACGCTGCGGTGTGCCAGGTACTTGGTCAGATCCAAGTCGTGAATCGGGAAGTTGACGAACGTTTCCAGCTTGTTCTGGTAGCGGACGTAGGAGAATCTCTTGAGGTGGACGACCAGGATCTCGGGTAGTCGCCACAAATCTAGTTTCTTGCTCGCTTGCTGCCTTTGCTTGCAGCGCGGGCAGTACCTTGGGACGGGAAGAACGCGGCATTAAAGACGATCCAGAGGAAAAGAAAAGTTCTACATACCACATGTCGTGCGGCCCGAGTGGTTCCTCCTTTAGAAACGCTTCCAGGCAAGTGTAGAGAGACACTGCCTCCTGCCTCAACTTCTTGGAAGTCGCAGCCTTGCAAACGTCTGGGAGCCTGTCCAGGAAGCTCAAGTCGTAGAACTCTGAGACCCTGTCGGACCACTCCACCAACACGTACGTGTACTTTGTGTTGATCCGCGCTGGATAGAGGTCCGAGGGGATCGGTTTGTCGAACTCGATCAGGTGCGACTTTGTGGCTCTTTCGTCCGTTGTCCACAAGCTGAACGGGCAGTCCGACGACGCCCGGTCTTGCATATCGGAATCAAACATCTCCGAGTCCGTTTTCATCTGAGAGAGTAGCTTCTCGAAGGCACACTTGATGTCTTCGCCCGTCCTGAAGCCCTCCGGTGGTATGGGAATGATGAAAGGAACTCTGAAACGATCCTTTCTGCTACTTAAACAGGTTAGCATTCCCACGGAACATATTAACACAGACTTACTCTTCCAGTTGTTCCTGGATGAAGGCCACGAACTGCGCACTCTCTGACAATCTTGGAAGCCTATAAGCCACCAGCTGGTCGGTATCTGGTATGGTCGACAGACCCAAGGTGTCCTCTAGTAAATGCTGGCTTTTGAGCTGCAATGAAAGGTTGAGCTATGGATCCAGAAAACAACCATACCAGCGCCAACCTGGAAAAGCTGCAGCATTTCGTCGGTGCTCAAGCCGCAACTGTTGCCTACGGCTTTTGCTAGCTCCCTACATTTGCCCTGTCGTGGAACCACAACTGCGTGTGCCTTTGGCGGTGAGCTGCCGTCGGAACTTATCACCGTAACTGTCATAGTACGAGTGTTCGTAGGGAGAGGCAAAGACAAATACATGAAAGGGTCGAATGTCACTGACACTTTGCTGCAAACTGGACAGACTAAAGTTGATTTGTACTGGCCCTGTGACAACATCAGCGTTAGCAACTATCTTCTGCTCGTCAGTCATAAAATAATACCTGAAACACATCAACAATTACTGAATCGTTCCGAGCCCTGTGAGCTTCCCAATATTCGTCAGCGACCTCTTCATCTGGCCGACCATCCTCATCTTTCACTTCGATGTAAGGCTTTGTTTTTAAGCGGTTTAGATCTTCGTGCAGTCCATCCAGTAAATATGCCAGCAACTCCTGCAAAACAAGTTTGAGAAAAAAACTAAGAAATAAAAAAATTAACGCCAAGAGATTTATAATTACCTGTGAATCGTGCTGATTAAAACCACTGAATTGCGGAGCGAAACGAGAGAGCTTCATCTTGAATGAACGTGGAGAATACGGGGATGATTTTGGTGACCATACTTTGCGTAGAAGCTCTCCAAATGCGACTGCCAGTTCTCCCTAGCATCAAAATGCAAAATTCAGTACAAGATTTAAAGAAAACATTGAACCCACTCACTTTTGTTCCCATCATGTTGTCCCTGTTAATTTCCTTACTGTAATCTTGGAGGAAAAAGGTGGTAAGCTGAGGCGTGTGCACTAAACATTGAAGGGCACTGTTCATGAAGCATGTGTTTCCAAGGTTCTGGAGCCCCACCAGTCCTTGCGGTCCGCCTCCCCAATAGGCAATGGAGCCAGAGTGCTTTGTGATGGTGCTGCTAGCTCTGCTTCCGCCAAATGAAAAGTTAGAGCCCCTTCCACCGTTGAGAAAAATTTCGTCTGGCCATTTACCATTCACTCGAACTTCAGATAGGATCTGCGTTCATCAAACGTGAGAAACAGATAAGATTATAATCAGTCAGCTTACTTCTTGCCCCATTTGCAAGGCTGCGTCTTGTAAAGTCTGACTGACATCAAGAAGCTCTTTTTGCCTCGTTCGCCAGCAGTATTTCCAAAGTCTTATCTGCATACGATTTAACAATTAGAACCATAACATGGTAGACAAAGACGGACATACTTCACTGGTTTCCAATAATTCACAAACCCTTCGATAGAGTTCCTTTACAGTTTCCTGCCAAATTTCCCTCCCATCAAACATGCAACAACAAATGAAAATTCCTACCTTCGAGCTTATATTCACAATAGTATGATCACCACTTGGTTGGACGATAATCTTGAGCTGCAACGGGTAAACTTCGACGCAGAGTTCCGTCGAGCCTACACTGATCACCTTCCTGGATAGAACTGGACCTCCTCCATACCTGCAAGAGCTTGTTAAACTTTGGCACAAAGCTGTACGATAAGAAAACACGTACCACTTGTGTAGCGATTCCCAGACCCTCTCAGGCAAGAGAACGTAATCACGCTCTTCCACCAATGTGTTCCGGAGCGAGTCAGTGGATTCCTCTAGCAAATCAGAGTTATCTATACTAGGGGGGCGCTTCGAGCCATTTGGTTCGAAGTAAAACGCCTCCAGAGAGTCTGCACAGTCCTCTTGAATGTACTCTACCCATTTCTTCCACCATCTAGACAGAACGAGACCAAAGCTAGAATTTTTGAGCAAAGAGAGCGAGCACTTACTTGGCAGAAACAAGGAAATACGTATCGCCTTCTTTCGTTTGCACTTCCTCCGTCAAAATTTTGATTGCTCCTTTCTCCTGAGCAGCATTCTCCACGCATGCCTGGGGCGCGAGCATGCTTGATTCGCCTGGATGCCTGCATTTTCGGCCCGGGCGCCACTGTGAGGTGCAGCATTGATCGGGATTGCGAGAACCTTACCGAATCTAGGCCGCTGTCATCCGCGCCGAGGAGGAATTCGAAAAATTCCGAGCCGCTGGGGTGGGAGGGGGAGAGGAGGCGCTCCAGCGACTCGATCCGGGGCGAGCAATCGTTAGGCCGTCGACACTGGCGCGCGGATAAACCCTAGAAGTAGCAAAATGCATCTAGCATAAACCCTAGATGGGAGAGAAATTGAAATCCTTGTCGAGGGAGGGACAATGTGGCCGCGATTATTAGGTCACCAATTTGGCTAGATCTCTATCCAGGAGGTCACCAGGAAAGAAGATCCTGGAGGAATTATTCTCGATCATAGCAGTCACAAATGTTTCCCTAGGACAAGATCTCTGGAAAATGTATATAAGTTTGCTAGCTAAGCTTGGCTTCATTCCCATTGACTGGTCAACGACTCTAGACTCCCAGTGTCCACTCGAGTTTTGGCGATGGTCATGGTCGGTCAACATCGAGTTTTCTTGCTAAAAAATCAAGGCCGATAGCGCTCTAGTTCTTGGGCAAACTCCTCTTGGGCGAGAGAATCACCGACAAAATTCCAGTTTCGAAGGTACGAGATATCACTCCAACGCTCCCCTGGATTGGATTGGCGGGGCGCCAGTAGAAATGTAGCTCGGGAAGGCCGCCGCGCGGCATCCTCGATCGATTCCTCCACAAAAATGGGGGCAAACTCTTCCAATCCATGCTGCTGCCGGGGAAGATCCGTGCTCGAGGCCACGGTGCTAGCGCTGTGCGTGGGCCTGGCCGTCCTCCCCTTCGCCGCCATTGGATTCTTCTCCCGCCCGGCGCTGATCTGGAAAATGGAGCTCGTCTTTGGCAGCGAGAGGATCTGGAGTAGCAGTGGTAGCAGCGGGTGGTATGGCAGGAACACCCCGCAGCGCTCACGGAACTTGGCGGCCCCGGCATTCGCAGATCTTGCGAGGAGCAGTAACTTCGTAAGTCATTGTCTCCCATCAAGTTCTAGAATATCTCTTTGTCTCACTCTCTCTCTCTCTCTCTCATGGTGATTTCTTCGTTTTCTCTAGAGTGTCAGGGAGCTCTTGCATCTGGATGCGCTCTTGAGCAAGGCCGCGTTTCGCAACAACACGGTGATCATCACCACCTCCAACCAGGCCTGGGCCGCCAAGGGAAACATGTTGGATATGTTCTTGGACAGCTTCCGCAAGGGCGAGGGGATCTCGTCGTTCCTGGATCATCTCCTCATTGTCTCGCTCGACAAGATCGCCCACGACCGCTGCGTCCGGATCCACAAGCTCTGCTTCGTGCTCAAGACCGACGGCATCGACTTCTCGGCCGAGAAGTTCTTCATGAGCGACGACTACCTGAAGATGATGTGGAGGAGAGTCCATTTCTTGGGCGTGGTTCTCCAGCTCGGCTACGACTTTGTCTTCTCGGTAAGCACCAAAGTTGCGATCTTTTTCTGGAGTTTTTGTCAAGCTCTCGATGATATTGTCTGGGAGTTTTTGTCATGCTCTCGATCTTTGTCTCGGAGTTTTTGTTCTTTCTAACACCAGTGGCGATTCCAGGACGCCGACATCTTGTGGTTTCGAGATCCTTTCAAGCACTTCCATCCGGGAGCCGACTTTGAGATAGCTTGCGATCAGTTCTACGGCAGCGCAGTGGATCTCCGGAACAAACCAAACGGCGGCTACGTCCATGTCCGATCGAACAACCGGACGGTGGCGTTCTACAAGTTTTGGCACGCTGCGCGGGTGTTGTTCCCGGGGAAGCACGATCAGGACGTGCTCAACGCCGTCAAGTATACGGAGGGGTTTTGGAGTTTGGGATTGAAGATGCGGTTCCTGACCACGCAGTTCTTCGGGGGGTTCTGCCAAGTGAGCAGGGACCTGGAGGAGGTGTGCACCATGCACGCGAATTGCTGCACGGGGCTCCAGCGCAAGATCAATGATCTCAAGCTGGTGGTGGAGGACTGGGACGAGTTTGCGTCCATGACTGCGCAAGAGAAGCAGTTCAAAAGGATCTACTGGAGAGCCCCGCGGGAGTGCTTGCATTCGTTTGGATCATAGTAGCAATCGGGAAGAAAAAAACAACAAAACTATACACTTTTAAAAAGTTGGTGAAAAAGGTAAAGTTTTTTAGGGTTCTTCCGAAAAAGACGGAAGGCCAAATACAAAAATATCAAAGTAGAATATTCTTAAAGGGTTAACTGGCAAAATTTGCAAGTTGCCCTAAACAAATTCTGGGTTTAAAATTTTTTAGGGCTTTGATGGGAGGACTGGCTAGCGGCAATGGCCGCGGTTCGACCGACTATTTTGCTGCCGATTAGCCCAGTTCTTTCCTCCAAGAGGCTGCCCCTGCATTCTTCTTCGAAGATCCTCCACGAATTTTCAGTTGGATTGGCAGTAGCGTCCTCTCAGTCGATTCTCAATTGCAGGAAGGCTATGGCGGCAATGGCCGCAGGAGAGAACCCGGCAGTAATGGCTTCCAACCGGCCATTTGGAGTGCTCTTCGTGTGCTTGGGTACGATTTTCTCCTAGATTGAGCTGAAGCTTTTCTCGTTTACCAGGGAATATATGCCGCAGTCCATCCGCCGAGGCTGTGTTTAGATACATTGTTGAGAAAAGGGGATTGAGCTCTCGATTTAATATCGACTCGGCTGGAACTATTGACTATCACGAGGCAAGCTTTTCACGATCGCTCTGGTTGATTGTTTTTCTTTTGCTTGACGAGATTGTTTCTTCTTGTTGCAGGGCGATCCAGCAGATGCAAGGATGAAGGCAGCAGCTATCAAACGTGGAGTTTTGCTCACTTCGATTTCCAGGCCGATCAAACCATCCGATTTCGATGAGTTTGATCTCATCCTCGCGATGGACAAGAAGAACAAAGGTAGAGAATGCAATTTTTCAGCTCTTCGTTCTTAGAAATCTCTCGTTACAGCCGATATCTTGAAGGCTTATACAATATGGAACAAAAACCAACCTTACGATGTGGACTCTAGAGACAAGGTGAGCACGAAAACTTTCATTCGATCATCAACACCAAGGACGCTGGATCTTCGTTCTAAAAACTAAGACTTTTGCAGGTCAAACTCATGTGTTCTTACTGTCGAAAGAACGAAGCCACCGAGGTTCCCGATCCGTATTACGGTGGTCCTGCTGGTTTCGAAAAGGTTCTCGTTTGATTCATCGTTCCACTCACTGTTACTACCCTCTGTTTTCTTTTCCTTTTGCGTTGTCGTGATCGACAGGTGCTAGACCTCTTGGAGGATGCCTGCGAAGGCTTGCTAGATTCCATCATGGCGGCGAGCTAGACGAATAATCTTTCAGAGACGCGAATATCCGGTGACGTCCTGTAGCCGTCGATTGAAGTAAAAGGCATCTCTCCCATCGTTGTCTGATAAGTTTCCACGATTCTTCTTTGGACTTACACTTTCTCGCTCGGTGGTGTTCCAGGTAGGGGTGTTTAGAGGAAGGCGAAGAGCGCGTAGTAAATAACGGCTTCTCGATTTCTTCAAATCAGGAAAAAGGAAAGGAAGTTTTACTTGGAACTCTCGAATGGCTGCGACACTGGCTACTGCTGGATCACACAGTCTACTCAAGGCGAAGCTTGGAAGTTCTCCCTCTCCAGAACTTCTCGGGGTCTTCAAGAGGTTTGATGCTACTGCTGCTGCTAGGCTAGGATCTCGCGGGGCCGCCGTTGCGAGATCCTCGTCCTCCGAGTCTGTCCAGAGCGTGACGAAGAAGAAGAAGAAGAAGCTCCCCGATGCTGCTTGGCCGGTTCTCTTTTACAGAGACTGGGTGGAGAAGTACGGGAGCTCCAAGTTCCACGGGGAAGAAGAGGACGAGGACGAGGTAGTGAGAGTTGGAAGCTCCAGCGATGGCGATTCCCCTTCTCGGCAAAATCTCAATGGCAGTTCTAGCGGCGATGAGCAGTCAAAGACGACCGGTGGAAAGATCTGAGGGGTGAGTAACAAGAAAAAGAATAAGTTTTCTACTTCAACACTTTTAATAGCTTCCAGGAATCGTGCAACTCGTTTCAAATAAAAGTTGAAAGAGGGTCCCAAAGAACACGAGCTTCTTGTAAATTAACAAAAATCTATGACTATTTGTAACCGTTGACTAGACGTTGACTACTCTTAATCCTCTCTTTGGGCAATTTAGGGTTAGAAGTAGCGCGAGATATGACGAGGGGGAAGCAGAAGATCGAGGCGCAGAAGCGCAATGCGGAGCGCAATCAAAAGCCCAAGGGATCACAGATCGAGGCGCGCGCCGCGGCTCTCAAGATAAACTGCCCAATCTGTAAGGTATAGAAGATAGATCTCGCTCGCTCTATCCACATTTCCACTTGTGGCAGTCGCAATTGGCCAATTACAACCAGCTGCGAGACCACTTCGCGTCAAAGCACCCTAAAGAGATTCCCCCGCCCGACACCACCCCAGCATCGTCGTGATTTCGCTCGCGCCCCCAAGAGAGATCCAGAGATTGGGACAAAACGCATCACTTGGGTAAGTCCAAGCGCACAGGGAATGGAAAGAAGAAATTCTCTTCATTGGTTTTTGGGTGGGCTCATAAAAATTCGATCGGCTCTCTATCTTTCATCGTCTCCATCCGACCCTTTTTTTTTTTTTCCCACGAAGAACAGGCACGCCATGACAATGCAAAGTGAGAACTGACAAGTACGGGAAGAGTACGGCCGCGAGGGCAATCAACCCGAGCTTTGGAGATTTGGCAGGAGGAGCTGCAACATGGTTGCGCCGATGCCGTTCCATATGGATTAGGAAAAGCAAACTTCTAAGAATGCAAAGCGCGGCAATCAAATTAAAATGTGATGGGTTGCGTCGTGAAGGTCGACAGCTTCATCAACCTGATTCATCTTTATTTTTCTCAACCTCTTTACAACATCTGGATTCTAAAACTTCAACACTTTGCCCGACTTTCCATCAGCTCCAAATTTCCAGTACTCGAAAGAGCCTTCAGCCAAGTTGTAGTAACCACCGTGGAGTTGGAGCTTGGCACTGCTTACTGCTTCCTTGACGAATGAGAAACGCAGAAGATTTACCAGTGAACCGTTCACAGAAGTCTGCGCATGGAAGTGGAAGGCGCTGTTTAGAAGACGTCTCTGTACAAGAACATTAACCAATTACCCTCTCGCATGTCCTGCACTTGTGCTGTAATGACGGATTCCTCCGAGTTGCTTCTAAGACCGCAGCTCGAGCCGGAATACCGATTTTTACCCAGTTATCAATGAACCTGAGGAAATTGCACTTCGGTAAAGCTTAGAAAGCATTCAGAAGTACCTCCATCTCTTTGTGTTCTCTTTCAAAGTCATGAGGGCGTCTATACCTCCGCATCTGCTATGCCCAATCACCAGAATGTTCTCAACCTACAACCGAAACGCTGCTATCGCTCATCTTTCTCCTAGAAATGCTATACCTTGAGAACTCTTACTGCATACTCGAGAGCTGCACTCGTTCCAGGATAACCAGCCTGCAAGGAGGGTATTTAACAGGAAGACAGGAAAACTTCGAAGGAATACCTGTTCCGGTGGAGGCACCATGTTGGCAATGTTCCGAACAACAAATGCTTCTCCTGGTCGAAAGTTCAGAATCGTCGTGGGACACACTCTTGAGTCGGAGCATGCAATAACCATGAACTAGTGAAAATATGACGATTAAAAAGTGAGGCCAGGAAATGTACCTTGGGATGTTGTCCAGCTGCTAGATTCTGATAGAAGCCTGGATTCCTTCTGAAAATTGTTGCTTGAGCGAGAATGAAAGCGCAGAGATTCGAGATCATACATACTGATATACACTTTTGAATGTCTTGAAGCCTTGCTTAATTCTTTCAGCAGGTGTCTTCTTCTTAGTAGACCGTGGTTCCCACACTTTCTGCACACAATCAAAACCTGAAGCTTGGGAAAGCAACTTACAAATGGGCGCCAACACTTTCTGATGCTGTGCCCAGCTGAAGTGAGCCTCCTCCGCAACAACGATCTTCTCTCAACCTTTACGTCGACCTCATCACCGTCGGTGAAGGGGACGCAGCAGGAGAGAAGAGACCTCCTCCTGAAGACGACCCACACTTGGTCGCCTGAAGCTGACATTGAAACGGTGGAACCCTAAACCCCAATTCCTGGAACCGGATAAGACTAGATTTGTTGGCCTGTTAGAGTATTACAATTTAGGTAATTTTACAATTTATAAATATAAATAATATAGATTGTTAGGTAAAATTGTAAGAGTAAGGTTATATTTTACCTTAATAAAATATAGAGTTTAAAAAGAACATTCAGTGAATCTGGACAGGTGGAGACACATTGACCAGGATCACGTGGATTAGAACCCTAAAATTGAAATTTTGTACGTAGAACATTCAGTGAATCTGGACAGGTGGAGATTCAGGGACCAGGATCACGTGGATTAGGGTTTGTGAAGAGGAAGAGATGAAGAAGTGCTGATCGATCGATTAGGCTAGCGTCGCGGCAAAATGGGTCAAAGTGGGCTTGTCGCGTGTCACAGGGAAGATCCATTATGTCTCGGGATTATCTATGGTCTGCAGATGTGGACTTTGAAGTGGCCAATTTGGCTATTTACTCGGTTTCTTCCCGTGTTCTTTATCTATTCCTTTCCATCGCGATCCACTCTATAAAAGCCAGCGATCACATTTGTAGCTACCATATAATTTTTCCCTCTCGTGATTGTTTTGTTTTTCTTGAGGAGAATGGTGAATTCTCCCTTCCCGCGGCAGCCCAAATCGATGGGTTTCGTCCAGGGGAATTTGTTCTTCGATCGCGAGGCTCTTGGGGAGGTGGTGGTGCTTCCGGTGGGCGATGGATTCCTGGTTTGCTGGAACCCGGACAAGGGGGGATTTTTAAGCGTGGAGCATCGCAGCGAGCCAGGTAGAAGCCTTTGGTCCACAGCTCCTGGGTTTTCTTTCGTCACCGCGGCTCTGGGAGTGGAAACGGTGGAGGAGTTTCGGGGATCGTTTGGGATCCATGACGAGATCAAGCTAATTTGTAAGCACCAAAGTGTTGACAAGATCCTCTCTTTGGCGGGCTCAAGCGCTCAAAGTCAGCTAGCGGATGATCACGTTTCGTTGTCAAACCAAAAAGATGGAGATGGGACCCCGTTGTCCGTGAGTGGGGGCTCGTCAGTGGTGATCACTGGGACTTTGTTCTCGGCAGAAACAGCGTTAAATTCTCCGCGGCCTTTCTTTCGTAGGAAAGACTGCTCCAACAGTGTTGCTGTCTGCTACACGCTTTGCTTCACAGAGAAGAGGCCTCACCACCTTGGTTTTACGATCAAGCTTGATAAGCCGTTCTGGATCGCGCCACCAAAACAAGCGGAGAACTATTATCACGAGCTCCAAGCCGATCTTAAAAGTGATTTTGACGTGCTAGAGAGGATTTGGTCGGAAGGATCAATTTTTAGACGGAGAAGCTATGGCTCGCTAAGAGTTCGACCGGTTGAGCAAACCAGTATTGACGAAGTTCCGGATTTTAACAGGGTCCAGCTGACGTACATCTCTCACAGAAACGAACGATTCTTTGGATTTGGCGAGCAGTTCTCTTGCTTAGATCTGAAAGGACGGAGAGTGCCGATCCTCGTTCAGGAGCAAGGCGTCGGAAGAGGTGACCAGCCTATTACCGCTGCAGCAAACATTCTATCTTACAGGTATGTTTCAAAAGTTTCAACTTGTTTCTGGAATTTCTCTTTCTAGATCTGGAGGAAGCTGGCACACAACTTATGCACCATCGCCATATTACATGACCTCCGATATGCGGTGTTTGTTCCTTGAAAACTACGAGTACTCCGTCTTTGATCTGCGTCGTCACGATCGAGTTCAAATACAAGTAAGTTCTGTTTCTGTCTCTCCTTTTCTGAATTGAAGATGAGAGTGATTCAGGTGCATTCGGGAACGATGGAAGGCCGGGTCTTACATGGACAGACACCCGCAGAGCTGCTTATGCGCTATACTGAAAGCATTGGAAGAATGCGAGAGCTTCCGGACTGGATTCATCAAGGGGCTGTCATTGGCATGCAAGGTGGAACGAACGCTGTGAATAAAATACATGCTGAACTTAAGAAGCACGACGTTCCTATAGCTGCCTTCTGGTTGCAAGTTCGTATTTCTTTTCTCCATTTTTTTTTCACCTCCGACTTCTGTTAAAGATTTCGTTTTCTTTGTGCACAGGACTGGGTTGGCCAAAGGAAAACAAGCATAGGATGGCAACTTTGGTGGAACTGGGAAGCAGACACGGATCATTACCAAGGATGGGGGGAGCTTGTGCAAGAGCTCAAATCTCAGGGCATTCGAACAATGACGTACTGCAATCCTCTCCTCGCTTGTGTAAGTCTCTTTTCAGAGTTTCCTTTACGATGCCAATGTCTTACCTTGAATGTAAAGGTTGAGAGCAAGGAAGCGAAACGAAGAAATATGTTGCAAGAAGCTTTAGCTGAGGGTTTCTTGGTGCGTAAGCCTGGTGGAGGCGTCTACATGATTAAGAACACGAGTTTTGACGCAGCGGTCATTGATCTTACAAATCCCAAAGCTCGTTCCTGGCTGAAAGAGATACTGAGAGACATGATCAGTACTGGAGTTTCGGGATGGATGGCGGACTTTGGCGAAGCCTTACCTTTCGACTCGGTCATTCACTCAGGTAGTTTTTGTGGATGCTTTACTGGATGGTGTCTGACAAGCCTGTATACAACAGACGAGAATCCAGCGCTCCTTCACAATCGATTTCCCGAGCTGTGGGCTCAGCTCAACAGGGAGGTCGTCGAAGAATGGGAGCAAGAGCACAAGTTACAAAACGGTGACATCGACAAACTTGTCTTTTTCGTGCGAGCGGGGTTTATGAGAAGTCCGAAGTGGTCGACCCTGTTCTGGGAAGGAGATCAAATGGTAAGCTGGCAGAGGAACGATGGCATAAAAAGCGCTGTTGTTGGACTGCTGAGCAGTGGCATCTCCGGATACTCTCTGAATCACAGTGATATTGGCGGCTACACAACGGTGAATGTTCCATTTCTAAAGTACGTGCGAAGTGAGGAGCTTCTCATGCGCTGGATGGAGCTCAACGCCTTCTCTGTGATTTTCAGAACGCACGAGGTACGAGAAAGAGGTTCTTAGAAATGGTTTGCAAAACTTTCCTTTTCCAGGGAAACGATCCTGGAGCGAACTCTCAGTTTTACACGAATGCGCGAACTTTCCAACACTTTGCTAGGTGCGCAAGGATTTTCAAAGCGTGGAATTTTTACCGCAAGGAACTTGTCAAGGTGCGTATAACTCCTTGCATAGATTCGCGCTTACGCTTGGAAGGAATGATTTTTTTTTGCAATCTAGGAAGCGGCAAGTCGAGGTATGCCCGTCGTGAGGCACCTCTTCCTTCACTATCCACAGGACGAGTTCGTGCAAAGAATCACTTACGAGCAATTTCTAGTTGGCTCGGAGCTTCTCGTCGTTCCAGTGCTCAACAGAGGCAAACGAAAGGTCCGTGCTTATTTTCCAGCGGGAGACGTGTGGGTGCACGTCTGGACGAACAGGAACTACGGCTCCGCGGAGCAATCCTCGAGTGCCTGGATCGATGCACCGTTTGGACTTCCAGCCGTGTTCGTCAAAGCCGGATCGACAGTTGGATCAACCTTTATGTCCAACTTGGCCTCTCTCGATGGTGTCCCGGCCTCGTGACATTGGGAATATGCTTAACCGGTCGATTACACCGTGGCGCGGAAAGGAACTGTTTCAAACAGTTTTGGCTACAGGGAGATGGAGGAGCGGCTAGACGCGGCGGTGGCGCTCGAGGATGACGAAGAGAAACTTTGGGAGGAAGAAGAAGGAGAGGAAGACCCGGAGGATGATCCCGGACGAGCACTGGAAGCGGTTGAGGAATTGCTGCGCGAGAGAGAGGCGTTCATCCGGAAAGTGAGAGCGAACGAGATGAGCTTGGAGGACCTTTGCAAGCACGTCACTGAGGTTGGTTTCTAGTTTTCGCGGTTGCTCTCTTTAGTTTTTCTCACTAGATCTCGAATTGCTCAGGCAAAATCCAGGGCCGAGAAGGAGAGAGACGAGCTTACGTCTCAGATCGACAAGCTCAAGTTTAAGATGGCATCGCAGTCTGTGTTGATCGATCAGCTCAACGAACAGGTAGCAAAAGAAAACCCCTCTCTCGTTCTCTCGTTTTACTTTTTTTCTTGGAGTTTTATCGAATCAAAAACTGGAATTTCACAGGTTGGAACTGCGAGGAACAACGTAAAAAACCAGCGCGAGCAGCTGGAGATATATCTCCAAAAGGAGAGGCAAGAGGAGCTCCAAGAGAACGCTTTGGTGGACGGTGGCGATGGTCGCTAGAGAGAATCTTACGGTGGCCGGGGTTTCACGCTCGTATAGGTCGGGACGGCCTATATGAATGGACGTTGATAGGAAATGTAAAAATTTTGGTGCTCGTTTTAAATTCTTACGGCTTTGCCGCTCGCGGCGCTCATATTCTAGGGCTCTGCGTGATCGATCGCGATGCCTCTACGAAATCGGTAAATGCAGGTGTACCGATCGATCCTCTTCCAGTTCTAGGCCGATCGCACCTGGGTTCTTGCGGTTCTGGGACGATCGTACTTAGCCGCGATGGAGCAAGGTGAATATTCTAGTGATCAGGAGGCGCCGGATGCGATTATCGGCAGAGGGAAGAGCTCCTGCGACTCGGCGCCAGGGAAATCGCAGCATGTCGAGTGGATGGATCCGAAATCCATCAGGTTCTCACAGCGGCCGGTGTTTGAAAAGAGTGTGGCTTTGCTGAGGAAAGGCGCTGGGAAGGAAGGATCTTCGCAGTGCTTTGCGCAGGTCGCGGCGGAGGGCAGCCTGGAAGGGCTGCTGGCCAAGCTGAGAGATGGCTCGGTCGGGGTGGAAGAAGTTCCACCCATTCGCGTCTTCTACCACGAGAATGCGTGGTACACCTTGGACAACCGGAGGCTTTGGGTGTTTAGGGAGCTTGGGAAGCGCATCCCCGTGGAGGTTGTCGAGGCCTCCAAGGAGTTTCTCAAGAAGCTGGAGCCAAAGTTCGCTGGGAGAGAGGTTTCTTTCCGCAATCCAGGAATGGCCGCGGAGGAGCAGACTCTTTCACGCCAAGTTCTGGCATGGTCTTTGGACAACATAAACAACGAAAGCTTGCTCGTCAATCAGGTTGGTTTTCTTCTTTTTGCTCTTGGTGATTGGCTTCGAATGACTGTCTTGCTCTCGCCAGGTTGACAAAATCCCCTTGGAGTTCCCGGCTTTGAAAAACTATCTGAGTGTATTCCGACCTCTTCTACTTGAAGAGACCCGCGCCGCCTTGCAGCAAAGTCTTGAGATGATCAACGAGTTGCCTTGCGTTCTTGTCGAGATGGGCAAGGAAGTCCCTGTTCGGGATGGCGATGACAAGATCAGAAGGTTTAAGATGCAAGTTTCGAAAGACATACTAAAGCCGAAGGATTTGGTTCTCCTGACAACAGCAGAGCCAGACTGCCTGACGATTCTGCGAGATAGTGGCGAGTTTTATACTCTTGGTCTTATTATCGCTGGCGACGACATGGACAGTGACGAGCTCAAAGTCGACGTATACGCTCCTATCGACAGTTCCGAGTACGACCCCTTCCTTGAAACCAATCGACCGTGGTATGCTGTCTACTTGAGCTCCCTCGCCACTGGAATGCGAGTTTGGGAGTCTCTGAAACGTCCTTCTCTGGCTCTAGCATCTCAATATCCTATATTTCAAGAAGTTCTTCAAGCAAACTCGGTAAGAAACTTCATGTTTCGTTTACATATCTAGTTAAGACGCGTTTTTGTTTTGCAGGGTGAACCGGAGATATATGACGTTGAAGGTATGACAAGCTCCGAGATTAGTTGCGCAAGGTGGTTTAAGCTCAACGATTCTCAAATGGAAGCTGTCTCGAGGACTGTTATCGCTCTGAAGAGGGAACAGAAGCCTTATGTCAGACTGATCCAAGGACCGCCCGGAACAGGAAAGACATCGATGCTTATGGCTCTGATCTCTGTGCTTGCCGGCTCCAGCAAGCGCATACTTATGTCTGCTCCGACAAATGCCGCCATAACTGAGGTTGTGGTGAGGCTTTTTACGTCGATAACAAAGCAGCCCTCTCCTTTTATCGGGTGTACAAGGACCGTATGTCCTCGTGACGTCGTGTTGGTGGGCAACAAAGAAAATCTTGAAGTGGATGACAACGAGATCCTTGACGCTGTTTTCCTTCAGAGCAGAGAAGAACGATTAGCGACTGTCCTCGCTACTGCTTGCGGGTGGCAACAGAAAGTTCTTTCTGTCGTGGACTTTTTGGAGAATGCAGAAGAACGCTATAGGCAGTATAAGCAGGATAAGAAGCCCGACGAGCCTGCCGAGAGCTTCCTGGACTTCTCCAGGGAGAGAATGACGTTTCTTGGGGATCAGATGCTGAGTAGCATTGACTTAGTGTGCAACGATCTGCCGTCCACCTTTCTCAAGTCTACTGATATCCTTGGAGCCAGACACCACGTCACCGAGATCAATGCAGCCTTTGGACGATTTCGCGAAGACTCTGAAGTTCTGAACTACGTCAGTTCTACTTCAGGGGCCGCAGCAGCTCTTCTGAACCTGTTGAAGACAAACATGGATTTTGTGACGTACCCGCCTGGTAAAATTCCTACTGGTGAAGAACTTCTGCGGCACGCGTCTGTAGTCTGCTGCACGGTCTCCTCTGCAGGCACGAGAATTGTGCAGAATACCTCTCGACATTTTTATACAGCGGTTATCGATGAAGCGGGCCAGCTTGTGGAAGCAGAGACAGCAATTGTGATGGGTCTACAAAACTTGAAGCAGCTGGTATTAGTTGGGGATCACAAACAATTACCAGCGACTGTTATAAGCAAGGTAACTTTTCTTGGTCAATAGCCTCCTGGTTTCATCTGAAATTTCGCTTCTCGTGGTTTCCCAGATTGCTCAGGACTACAGCTATGGCAGAAGTCTTTTTGAGAGGCTGCAGCTCCTCGGACATCCTAGTATAATGCTCAACGTTCAGTACCGTATGCATCCTTCTATCAGTCAGTTTCCAAATTTCCAGTTCTATGAAGGTGCAATCTGCGACGGGCCAAATGTTGTGGATGACTTCTATGGCCAGTTATCACAATCGCAGCTCTTTGGTCCTTACACATTTTTAAACGTGCACGGTGTTGAAACGAAAGACGAAAAGCACAGCAAGAGCAATGCTGTGGAAGTACTTGTTGTGATGCACCTCCTCAAGATGCTTCACCAATCAGGTGCTCAGACTTTTTATTCTCCTGAAACTGACTTTTGTTTCCAGGCGAAAAATTACAAGTAGGCATAATATCTCCATACGCTGCTCAGGTGAAGGCCATCAACGATCGGCTTAAGTCCTGGGACCATGGAAGTTTAAGTATCAATTGTCGTTCTGTCGATGGATTTCAAGGACGCGAAAAAGATGTTATTATCTTGTCCACCGTTCGGTCAAATGTTGGTGGTTACCTGGGTTTTCTCGAAGATCATCGACGATTGAACGTTGCAATAACTCGTGCAAGGTAGCTTTCGACTTGCCTATCGAGCATCTTACAGCTGAAAAGTTTTGTTGTAGGCACGTCCTTTGTATTGTTGGTAACGCCAACACTTTGGAATCCAGTGACGGTGTTTGGAGACAGCTTCTCAACGATGCGCGGCATAGGAAATGTTATAGAGAAGCTTCACAGGATTCTACCGTAAAGAGAACTATTCAAAGAGCTATGGCGGAAATTCATCAGCTGGAGTCTCTCGTGGATCCCCGGTCAGATTTTTTTAGCAATAACGTTTGGAAGGTAAGACTCAAGCTGTTTAGAGTCCTGTAATGCTAACAAAGAGCTGGTTGCAGGTGTTTTTCAGCAAAGAGTTCAAAGCCAGTTTCACGTCCATCTCGTCGGGATCGACAAAGTTGCATGTGCTAAATGCCATTCTCAACCTTGCCAATGGACGTCGTCCGAGACACGCGTTTACGGCCCCCGTTCCCACGAAGCGAAACTACGTTCAGTTCCATCTTACGATGGAAATGTATCTAGTTTGGACGGTTGACTTGGACGCTGATTGCACAGTTCAAGTCCTAAAGTTCTGGGATGTTCTAAAGCTTGACGGCCTTCCTAGGATTGTCAGCCGTCTTGAGAACCTGTGTGCTACATACTCGGGCCCTTATTTAAGACGATCGAGCGAACGCCTTACGGACGGGTACATATGTCCCAACTTCTCAATATTGAAGGGACTCACACTATCTTTTTGTAGGAAGGTGGCCGTGCCTGCTAGATGGAGCTCTGGAGCTGAAATAGAGCGGCATAAGTCCTTGAAAGAGATTGCAAGCTCTGAGGCGAACGGGGAGACCACGACTGGCGAGAACTCAAGCGTGTCAGAAAGCTTACTGTTGATGAAGTTTTATTCTCTATCAACAGGTATTGCTAGACAGCTCTTAACAGCCACCGACGGTAGCCAAATCGATCCTCCATTCGAGGTAACAGATCAAGAATCTCAAGTTGTTAAGTTCCCCTGGAGTTCCTTCGTCGTCGGAAGGTCGGGGACAGGAAAGACAACAGTTATAACCATGAAGCTGCTTAACCGAGAGCAACAGTTTCGTCTATCTCATGGGCTCGCTGAAGGTGAATCTCCGGGTCAAACTGTAGTACGTCAAGCTCTGATAACTGTCAGCTCAAAACTATGCGCGGCAATTAAGTTTCACCTTCAAAGGACACGCAGGTAAGAGTTCAGTGCCTTTTTTGTTTGATTTAACTTTTGAAATCATAGATCTCTTCAGCGAAACAACGCTGTCAACAAAGATGACATGTATGAGAGAGAAGGCTTAATGCTGGACGAGGAAGCAGAAGAAAAGTTGTTCAGCGACATACCTGACAGTTTCGTCGACATATCCCCGCAAGCATTGCCTCTCGTCATCACGTATCGAAAGTTTTTAACCATGCTCGATGGCAGCGTTCCGAGACCTTTTATCGCCAGGAGGGACATGGAGACAGCGCAAGGAACTTTTATTAGAGTTGAAGATTGCGACGACAGCGATCGCTTCGATACAAATGACGACATTGATATCTCTTATGAAGCTCCGAAGACATCTCAACGGATTCAGCGCAGAAAAGAGGTGGATTTTGATTGCTTTGCCGCAAGCTATTGGCCGCATTTGAACTCTAGCTTCACCAAAATGTTCGATGCCTCAGTCGTCTTCACCGAGATCATGTCATCGATTAAAGGAAGGCCTGAATCTCTACGAAGCCATAAAGGACGGCTATCTCGAAATGACTACGTTTATATGTCTTCTTATACTTTGGACCAGAGCCAACGAGAAAATATATATGAGCTTTTTCTACAATACGAGAAGCTAAAGTCACAGCGAGACGAGTATGATATATTGGATCACGTCAGATATCTATATCGACAGATCGAGGGTGGGGAACCGTTAGGACCGAAGTTTCAGTTTATATACGTCGACGAGGTCCAAGACCTCACTCTGGCTCAGATCAGTCTTCTCAAGTTCGTTTCTGACAACGTTGCAGAAGGATTTGTTTTTGCTGGAGACACGGCACAAACAATCGCTAAAGGCGTAAACTTTCGCTTCGAGGATATCAGGAGTTTGTTTTACAAGGAGTTTTTGGAAATTGACGACAGGAGGCAGATCACGAAAGATGGGAAGTTGCGGAAGCAGGCACTATGTAATATCCATCAGCTGACGCAGAATTTTAGAACTCACAAAGGGATTGTCGACCTCGCGGACAGCATTATGCAGTTGCTGTTGTTCTTCTTTCCGGAAACAGTTGACAAGTTGGAACCGGAGCGGAGTTTGATATGTGGTGAGAAGCCCGTTGTTGTGAAGTCCGATGAGAATTACAACCTCATCACCTGCCTATTTGATCGCAGTGGAAGGTTTGGACGGGAGTCCGACTTTGGAGCCGAGCAGGTGATTCTAGTGCGAGATGGTGAATCCAAGCAGAAACTTTTAAAGCGACTACAAAGCTTGGTGCTTACTGTAGAAGAATGCAAAGGTCTCAATTGATAGAAGTTGAGCGATTTAAATAACAGTCTCTTCAGGATGTTCTACTGTACAACTTTTTTGCGCAGTCGAACTTCGGCTCTAAGTGGAGAACTCTGTACACCTATCTCGACGAGACAAGTCTTGTGAACTGCTGCTGTCAGGGATATCCCAAGTTCGAGAAAAGACTTCACAACATTCTGTGTAACGAACTGAAGCAGCTATATGTGGCTATTACAAGGTCCAAGCAGCGTCTTTGGATATATGACGAGGACTTTACTTTCCAGCAGCCCATGCTAGACTACTGGATCACGAAAAACTTGGTTCAGTCGAGAAGTCTGGACGAATCCCTCGTTTCTTCTTTCCATAGAATCAGCACCCGGGAAGAGTGGCTACAACGAGGACGCCAGGTTAGTTTCCAATGCTCCACAAGTCTCTTCATAAACTTACGTGTTCTTATTGACAGATGTTCAACGACCGCCAGTATGATATGGCTGTCTTGTGCTACCAACGAGCTCATGATTCGTATAGAGCTCAGTGGGCACAAGCTGCTCTGCACCAGCAAAATGGGGAGAAGAATCTCGTCTGGAATCCCACCATAGCGACTCAGCAGCTACAAGACGCAGTGAACCTTTATGAGAGAATTGCGAAGTTCGAAGCTGCGGCAAGATGTTTGACGAAGATCAAAAACTTTAAGCAAGCTGGTAATTAATTCATGTAATCGTGATACGTAGCGATCGTGAATTACTAACGTTTCTGTCATTTCCAGGTGTATTGTACAGGGACAAGTGCAATCCGTCGCGCTGGGAAAACGCTGCTCAATGTTTTGAACAAGCAAAGATTTATGATGAAGCAGCAGAAGCATATGCCATGGTAGAAGATTTTCAGAGTTGCTTATCCGCATGCCTGGCTGGAAAGCTGTTTGAGAAGGGGCTGAACTTTATCCGGGACCGAGAACAGCAAGATGCTTCATTCCTCAGCAATAAGTACGTGGTGAATCTCTTGAAGACCTCGGCGGAGCACTATCACAGAAAGAAGGACGTTGACAGGATGATGAAATTTGTTCACGCGTTTCCGGGCATTTCCATGAAGCGGGACTTTTTGAAGAGGCGTGACTATCTGGAGCAGCTTATGCAAGTGGAGTTCTTCTACATGAACTACGAAGAAGCTTCTCAGGTAGCCGAAGCGAAAGGAGATCTTATAGCCGCTGCAAAGTTCCTAGAACTAGCTGGACATCGAGCCGAAGGAGCTAGAAAAATCATCAAACACATGCAGCTGAAACTTCTATGGGCGAACAACAACCTGGGGTGGCCTTTGAGGCCTTTGGAAGATGAAAAGCTCGTCACTGAGGCTCACAGAATGGCAAAAGGGGATCCTCGAGCAGAAATCCAGCTTCGAGTCCTAAGAGATGACGACGACCTCTCGCTGTCAGATGTTTTCGAGAACTGGAAGCTGGCGAAAGACGACCCGACTATAAACATCATAGTGCTGCGTCAGCTCTTGGAGAAAGGTCTAGAGTTGGCTAAAGGTTCGACTTCGCTCGGGCTTCTTACTCTACAGGTTTTGGACAGGCCGTTGAGAACAGCTAGTGACATGACCAACACTCTGCAGTTTGTGGTCGCTGTTTGGAACACTTGGTTCCAGAAGATAAGCTCGCTGCTGAAGGCACTGGCAAAGATCGAGAAAATTATTCCGCAAGGCGACGCACTTCTGGATTCTTGCTTGGAATTTATGGGCGTTACTCGGCACCATCTTCCCGGGCTGTGCATAGTGGAGGACAGCATGGTTGACTGGCTGAAACGGGGTGGAGACTGGACCGTCGGCAGTGGAAAGGCACAGCTGAAAACGGAAAAGTTTCTGTCTCTAGCAACAGATTTTTGGCGGGGTCAGCTAGAGTCGACGAGCGCAATCTTCTGTGAAGTGCTGGAAAGCCACGCAGGCAATGCTGGTGGAGCCGAGAGCTGCCTGTCAGTGTTGAAGATTATGGACGTGGTCAGTAGCTTGGGGAAGTCCGAAACTCACGAAAGAAGACTTCGAAGTCTCAGGATGGAGCTTTTCCGGTGTTTATTCGTACGCCGAGGGAATACTCCCGTTAGCTTACGGGACCATCCCAAAGTTACTCCTCACCTGGACGCGCTTGCCAGAGACATTACAGCAGCGAGTGATTCGGTCGAAGAAACAGTTATGCTACAGATTCTGGGACCTTATTTGAGGAATGGTCCCGGGCAGGATTTTATTGCCAACGAGTACTGCTACCACTTTGCGATGCCGATAAGCCAGTGTGCTCAAGGGCTGCACGACATCTTTAGCATGGAAGGCTTCCAGCATTATATCACTCCGTCGATGTTCATCTACATGCTGGAGCGAATACTTGTTTCTAGCACTGCGTGCTTATCACACATCGTGGAGGCAACGCTCCCGGAAAGCCTGGCTATGGAGTTTATGACGGGGTCTACGCAGGAAATTCTGTACACGCGGATGTTGAGGATGGGCTGCTCCGTGGATAAATTTTGCAAGAGTGTTGGGACAAACTCTCTGGAAGTCATTCAGAAGATTTGCAGTTCTCTGCTACTCGGATACCGCCTGGACAAGTGGTTGCTCGATATCCCAAAGTCAGAGGTAGTCTTTCGGATTATTCGAGTGCTCTTAACCATTTTCATGGAGTTTGAGAACCAGGCAGTGAACAGCCACATATTCCGAGATCTGAGGAGCTTGGTGACCCGGCAGTCTTCTGCGCTGGACCATCTTCTTCCGAGCTTGAGGCAGGGGCTGCAGTGCCTCTTCGAGACAGGTGCAAACTACAATCACTTCCGGATACTCTTCTGCCGGTTCATGATTGAATGCGGCGATCAGTTTCTGCTTCTGAGGCGGAGAGACAAATTCAGGCATGGATTTAAGTCTCGGTTCCAGACTTATGTCAATGTGGAGCCGGAGCCGTGGAAGTTCAGCCTGGCATCACTGCAGCAGCCGGATGATTTGATGCTGCAAACTGTGGATGCTGAGGAGGAGGAAGTTGATGAAACAACGGAGCTGAAACCTTCCGAGGTCGAGCTGACATTCGAGTGTCCGGAGCCAGAGATGACGGCTCCCGCAAAAGAAGAAGCATTGTCTCCATGGTACCTGAAAGTTGGCGATTCGAAGCTCGGGTTTTTCGTGGTCTGGAGGCTGCTGAAAAAGCTGCAAGTTGCCAGAGAGAACTTGGTCCAGGATGACGAGTATGTCCGGGAAGCCAAAAACGCGTTTAGCACTATGGCTTGTAAAGACGACGGCTACGTTTCGTCATTCATCTCCGAAGTGTGTCCTCTAAAGGTCTGCGTACTTTCCTTTCTCTTTTTCCCTCCGGTTCTTTGTAACACTCTCCTGGCAGGCGGACTTGGTGAGTTTCGTGCTGGACATGGCTTCCGCGATTGAGATTCTGAAAGGCCGAACCTTTGCCGGTCAGGATGGGCAACTCAAGGCCGATCGAGACGACCTCGTGGAGAAGATGAACGACTTCAAGTGCGAATGCGAGGCTTTGTTGGAGCTTATGGATCCTAGGTGAGTGAAGTGTTTGCTTTGCTTGTATGGATGATCTATAACTTTACAAACTCTCAGGCATGCCGACCATCAGAAGCAGGACTTGGATTGGCTACTTCTATCTGTCACAAATCCAGCAACAGAGAAACTAAGTTATGGCAGATCCAAATTCAACCATCGCCTTAAAGACGTGCTCGGTGATGCTCTCCAGCGCAAAGAAACTATCTCCAATGAGCCAGCAAAGCCTTGCTCGTCCGCTACTAAGCCCGCGCCTAAGAAATCAAACAAGAAGAAAAAGTCCGGGAAGAAAGGGGGAAGAAAGAAGCAGTGACTTAATGTTGATATATACATATTTCGTGTCTGTATAGGTAGTTTGATCGGAATTATCTATAATATACTTCCAACGAATTTTATCAAACTGGCGCCACCTTGGGAATCACAAACAACTCATCAGAGAGAGAGAGAGAGAGAGAGAGAGAGAGAGAGAGGAAGAAGAAGAAGAAGAAGAAGAAAGAATGGCTACCTGGTCGGGAAATTCGAGAGGTCGTTGCTTCCTGGAGAATCGCTTGTTCCAGGTATCGACGACGACGCAGGCACAGGCATCACCCCAGATGTTAACGGACGTGCGAAACATCCCCAGCAGCCAGTCCACGGCAAAAAGGACCGAAACGTCACCAATAAACTGGGGAAGATTCACAGCCTGGAGAAGAAAAGATCGAGAAAAAAAACCTTTGCATAGTCTTGCTTAAAGCTGGCTTGCCTGTAAAACTGTGATCATGGTCACCAGAGCGGAGCTGGGAATGGACGCGGAGCCAACAGCGGCGAGAGTGGCAGTGATGGCGATGACGAAGAGGCTGCTCACAGGGAGATGGATTCCATGAGCCTGGATGGAGGACGAAGAGAAAAAAGTGAGTGAGAGAGAGATGGAGGACGAAGAGAAAAAAGTGAGAGAGAGAGAGAGAGAGTGAGAGAGAGAAACCTGGCAGATAAAAATTGCTGAGACTGCCTCGTAGAGCGCGGCACCGTCGCGGTTAATGTTGGTTCCTAGAGGAATCACAAACTGGACGATGCTCTGGTCGCAGCCGTGTTCTCCGCCGCATTGCATTGTCACTGGCATTGTGGCGGCGCTGGAGGAAGTTCCCAGTCCCATGCACAGCGCTGGCAAAAATGATCTGGTAGATACGCAGCAAATCGCTTTAAACCGGCTTGTGATCTTCAAGAGCTCAAAGAACCGAGCTACTTACTTGAAAACTTTGAGGGGATTTTGCCTCGACAGGAGGAAGACTGTGAGTGGCAGCACCAGCGTGGAATGGATGAAGAATCCGCCCAGCACCGTCGCCATGTAAAAGCCGAGAGATTTGAGAAGATGGACGGCGTTGCATGCCTTGAGAATGGTGCCTGCGATGAGCGACGCAACTCCAACGGGCGTGAACATGACCACTACAAAGATCTGATCGGGAGAAAAAAACAATGTAAGATTGTGATCAATCGAAGACACGAGAAAGTTACGATTTTTATCAAGATGGTGTTGCAGAGCTCGATGAGATGAACTAGAGGCTCGGCTCGCTCACCTGGAGGTACACAAAGGAGAGAGTTACGAGCTTTTTTCCTTGACAGGTTTAGAGATTTTCTCACCGAATGTATTGGTGGCGAAAGCGAAGACAATGGCGAAAGTCATGACTCCCAAATAGTTTGGCTTCGCAGCGGCCGCGACGATGTTTGTAGGAAGCAAGTCGCGGCCAATCTCGAGCAGGGAATCCACAGTCCCAGCTGCTGCCTTTGGTGTGCTAGAAAAAAAAAATTTCAAGTAAACAGCATGAAAGTATCACTCTCACTCTGTGGGGGAAGTTCCATTGCGAGTGGCACACTTTGTGAAACCCGAGTCGTCAAATGGCTTGTCTCTCCCAGGCTTGATCACCGACACCATGACGATTCCCAAAACCACGGCAAGCATCATCGACAGTAGATAATACAGTAGAGACCACTTGGTGATACGGCCAACTCTACATTTTTGCCAAGAAAGAAATCGAGCTACATCACAGGAAAAATATCATACCCACTGGTTGTGTGTCTCAAGCTGAACACTCCAGACATCAATGCGAGCATAATCAATGGCAGAACCAGGGCCTGTAAAGCTCGGATGAAAAGCTCTCCAGGATACCCTTGAAAGCAAAAAGGAAAAGAGATCGAGCTTTTAGGACAAACGACGAGGAGATCTTTTCTCTTATGATACATACCCAGGAGCTCCACTGTTAGAGCAGAGGGATGCGAATTGTAAAGCCCAGCTCCCAGCGCGATTCCCACAAGCACTCCCAGCAGCGTCCACCACACCAGCATCTCCATCCGGAACGCCTTCTTCTTAAACCGCGAGAAGAGCCCCGCCATGGCGGCCAACAAACAAACAAAGAATGGCGCTCTCTTCCCAGAAGTTTGGAGAAGTGTGGAGTTCGCTCCCTCCCTCGCAGAAGAGATTCTTGGCTGCCCTATGAGCTACTTAAGGAACTCCATAGCCAGACTTCCGTAGACGCATTTGGCGGGCTCGGATTTGGACCCGAGGTGACTGCAAATCTTTTCTTCGTTTGTGGTTTTTTTTTCTCTTTGCTTTCTGCCACTTTGTTCGGTCCCCAGAGGAGCTCTGACCTCCAGGCCTACTAAGACGAGCACAGTGTTGCGAGCTCGACATGATACACAGCATCACGCAAACTTGATGGTTGAGTTCCTGAGGTTTGGAAATGCAATGTTGGCTTTTTGTATGGAAAAACAATTCACTGCCTTTTGTCAATGTCGATTTGTAATGCAAACCATGGGAGCATATCACCGACCATGCGTGGTAATTAGCACAGTGGTAATCCGTAGGCGCATATCTAGGTCTGATTTATATGGGAAAACTTTAAAGCTTAGAACACTGGTGAAAAGTGATCTTTACATTGACAAGAAACTTAAAATCTCTTGATACCTTGAGAAAGCTTTTAACATGGTTTGGGGTTTGCCATCCAAAACTACTTTGGCAGCTATTTGACCATTTAGAGCTGTCTTGACTCTCGAACCTTCAAAAAAAAGGGGAAAAGGGAAGAAAGATCCCCCAGAACCTACATAGTGCTTTCTCAACGCACACACCACTTCACGGCTTTGTTTAAAAATGCTTTAACAAAGATTTTGTTTTTGAGAAATTTTCCGTTAAGCAGGAATGGCTGTTAGCATACGAGTCCATGCAGGAGGCTCCCCTGGAGCATTTCCCAGAAGTTTGGCTCCGCTGAAACGTTTACTCCCCCTTAAAAACGTTCCTTCCCACCGTCATTGGTTAGGGCAGTCAAACATAGACACACGAGGAAGCCTTCGTTCGAAGAATTTTGCATGGAAAAGCCTTCTCGTTACTGGTACTTAAATCCCTGCATCCTTCGTTCCTTCTCGAGAGAAGCGATGGAGCTTTTACTGCTGTCCTGGAATGCTCTTTACCTCCTCGCGTTTCTACTCTCTTTCTGGCTGATCTACCGTAAGTTCTACAACTCCCAAGGATCATCCACGATCAAACTCCCGGCGGGAAGCCATGGCTGGCCTCTTGTCGGAGAATCTCTCTCTCTCTTCCAGGGATCCCCTCTAGACTTCCTCACCACTCGACGCAAGAGGTTCTCCCAAGTTGACTTTCGCTTAGATCTTGATTTAATGAAGTTTGTGACCGATTTACAGATTTGGAGGAGTTTTCTCGAGTAACTTGCTTGGATCTCCCACCATTGTCACAACAACAGTAGAGGCAGCCAAGTTCTTCCTCAGCTGTGCTGACTGTGGTCCCTCAGGCTTGTTTGGCCGATTGTTTGGGCCGGACTCTATAAGCCAAGCCGTCGGGAGTGACCATGCGCTCTACCGGAGAATCATGTTGGGGATGATGGTTCCAGAGGTGCTCAAACACCATGTCGAGAAGATCGATAACTTGGCTCAGGAGATTCTAGAGTCGTGGGGATCGAAGAAGACGGTATCGGTTATGGAAGAAACTGTCAAGGTCTGATCACATCGTACGCCAGGTTGATCGCTTGATCTGATTATAAACATTTGACTTGCCAGTTTAGCTATTGTACGGTGATTGGATTCGTGTGCCAGAAACTGCTGCCCACCACTCCGGAGACGATCGATCTCATGCGAGACGTCCAGGCCATAGAGACGGGGCTGCTCCAGTTTCCAATCGACATACCCTTCTCACCTTATCACAAAGCATTGCAGGTTTGTGGCTGATAAATATAATCTTTCTAGTTCTGGATCTATTGTGATTCGATCAGGCCAGGGCAAGGCTCCACACATTCTTGGATGGGCTCATCAACGAGAGGAGGGCACAAGTAGCTGCCAAGGACGAGACACACAAAGATGCATTGGGCGAGTTTGTCACGCACAAAGATGACAAGGTTGGAACCCTCTCCAATCAACAGGTGGAAGACAATCTCATGGCACTGTTGTTTGGAGGCCACCACACTACAGCTCTGGCTCTCCTGTGGCTGATCAAATACTTACATGAGAATCCACAAGCTTTCAAGGAAGTGGAGGTATTATTATTATTATTATTATTATTAAACTGTTGTTTTGAATTTATCTTGATTTCCAGGAAGAGCAAAGACAAATCGTTCTTGAGAAAGGCTCCACAAAGTATAAATTAACATGGGAAGACACAAAGATGATGCCAGCCACTCTAAGGGTTAGACGGAGTTCCACTTATTTTTATATTGAATTTAATTGGAGTGTTTTTGCAGGCTGTCCACGAGACTCTGAGGCTTTCTAATGTTGTGGGGCTGGTGACACGTAAAATCACCAAGGACATCAGCTACAATGGTTTGATTACATGTGATTGAAGCTAATTCCAATCGTTCTCTTGGTGTTATACAGGTTATATTTTGCCCAAAGATTGGATGGTTCATGTCCATATGTCAGCAATCCACTTAGATGAGAGCATTTATCGCAATGCAACAAGATTTGATTCATCCAGATTTAAAGTATGGCATTTGTCATGTTTATACTTACCAAAACCTTTTTATATCTTCCATCAGGTCCCAGCTAAAACTGGCACATTTATTCCATTTGGCTCTGGACAAAGAACATGCCCAGGAAGTGCACTAGCTAAGTTAGAGCTATGCGTTTTCATACACAGGCTTATCACAAAATACAGGTACTTCCTTTTCCTCCATTTTCTTGCCATTTATACTCAAACATTATTGTAAAACACTGTAGATGGGAGCCAGTGAATCCAAATAGTAAAACAAGCTACTGGCCAATGCCCACAGTGAATGATGGATACCTCATAGAAGTTATGTCCATCCAGTAAAGAAACAAGGAGAAAATAAAAGCCCCTGGATTGCCTTTGCTGATATTTAGGGTTAGGTTTAGGGCTTGTTTTGCCCAGATCTGGCGTGATGGAGGACAAGAAGAACACGGACTGCGTTTACTTCCTCGCATCGCCGCTCACATGCAAGAAGGTGAGAAATGTGGAATTCTCCCGCAAGATCGCATGCCGGGGCACGAACATTCACCAAAAAATGTGTTTTTCGTCTTTCTCTCCGCGCCACAGGGAATGCAATGCGAGTTTAGGCACAGCGAGGTCGCGAGATTAAATCCCCGCGACTGTTGGTACTGGCTCTCTGGGAACTGCCTCAATCCAGACTGCCCGTTTCGTCATCCCGTGAGGCTTCTTCCTTCTCCTCTTAGGATTTTTCATAGTCTTTCTTTGATAGAGAGTCTTTTTCTTTCTTTGAGGATAATGGTATTTGATTTCTCGCAGCCGCTGGACGTGTCCGAGGAGGAGAATCCCAGCTCCAATTCTCGAGTCCCCTGTTACTTCTACTCTCAAGGATACTGCGCAAAAGGAGACCAGTGTCCGTTCATGCACGGCTTTGCTCGTCGCTCCCAACAGGTCCAAACTTTGGCCCAGCAGCAGCAAACTCCATCCCAGCCTCAAGTTCCTGCTGCCTCTACCGTCACGCAAAACGGGGGCTCCAAGTTCTCGTCGGCAACGTTCGGCCAGAGAAGCGGCCCGGCCGAGCCTCCACACCAAGTCAAGCTTGAAACTCCGGAAGAACACGAGCAGCAGCACCAGGTGGAGAGCAGCAGCTCGCCGACACAGGACGACGAGCAGCAGGAGAAATCCGACAGTGGCGACGGAAAGTCCGAAGAACTCTACAGGCTGCACCACCACGAGTGGCCGATGAGAGGCAGCTCCCCCGACTTCGACGACGTAGATCCCGGAGCCCAGCAGGATTTCTACTCGGACGATGGAGATAACTACGACACCGTCCTCGATCCAGTAAATGGCTCCTCCTCGCAGCTGCTTGATCAAATCCAAAGCCAGCAACACCGTCTCCTCGACTCTGCTTCGTACGACTTTGGAGGCTGCCGCTACGAGCGAGGAGCTTTCCAAAACGGCCCCAGCGCTGGCACACGGAACAGCTTCAACGAGTACAAGCCTTACGATCCACCGTACCAGCCATCGCTCCCTTACGACTGCATGATCAGCTCGCGGCAGCCTCTCGTCCAGGAGCAGCGGATTGATCCCGACTTGGAAGCTCTTCTCATGGCCAGGAACTTGGAGGGACTAAACCGAGGGAGGCTCGAGGACCGGCTGGTGTTTCCGAGAGGGAACCACAGGAGCCTCTTTGCCGCAAACCGCTTAAAGCTTCTCAGCGACAACAGTAGTGCTCACAACAGGCTAGTTTACGACGAAACCAATCCTGCTCTTCACCATCGACTGGAAAGCTGGAGGGTGGCGAATGGTGGCAGTCGCAGCGTCCATAGCAGGCTCGGAAGGCCCAGCGTGAAGACCCGGCTCAAGTATGCTGCTAACCAGAGACTCCACCAGCACCAGTTTCATAACTTCCAGCACCACCACCAACAGCAGCAACAGCGTCACCACGGCCGGAACTCGAGATACTTGGGAGTGATGCAGCAGCAGCACTGGCGACACAACAAAGTCGCCAAGAAGCCCAAGCTCGCCGCCGCCGCTGCCGGTGCTGCTCCCAGCAGCACCTCTGCCAGGAACAGCGTCACTTTGAGAGAGTCTCAATTTGACGGGCCAAAGAGCCTGGCGGAGCTGAAAGCTGCGAAGGACGCTGCTGGAACTTGAGGACACGAAACGAAAAGCTTCTCTTTGGGACGCTCAGTCTGTCCTTAGAGCTTTGTGCCACAAGACGGTGGTGACTCCAATCAGCAAGCAACTCACCCCGAGCACCCAATCTCCCTCGTCTCCAGCACCGACCTCGAGCTCACTAGCAGCAGCAGCTTCTCTTTCCTCTCGTCGAGGCTTGGCTTCTCCTTCGCTGCGGCGTCGATCACTTCGTCGAGTAGGATCGCCAGTGAAGCCACTGTATCCCGACGGGGTGTGCTTGACGTCCATGACGGATCCAAAGAACTCGGTCACGCGGACCTCGTCCAGCTTCCTCCGGAACAAGTCGTCCCTGAAGCTGGCGTTGGACATGAGCAGCCGGGGATCGTAGACCCGGAACAAGCTCTCGAGGGTGGCGGCGCTGTCGGTCCTCACGCCCTCGAGAAACTGGAGCGTGTAGTACGTGAAGCGATCGATCACCGAGACGCCAACGTCCATGTCGAGGTGGTGGGAGTAGGAGTTCTCCCCCTTGTTGCTGCTGCTCGCGGCCAGCACTCCAGGCGAGTAGACTTGCGAGTAGAGCGTCGAGGCCTGGCAAGTGTCCACCATGAACAAGATCTCCCTGTATCGCCCCTTTTGATGCATCTGCTGGATCGCGTCGGCCAGGTCGTGGCTCTGGATCTCCTCCGCGTCCTGGAACTTGATGAACTGGTCGCCACCATGGCCGGTCATGTAGAGCAAGACGTTGCTGGACTCGTCGCTGAGGAGGCGCTTGGATCGCGGGACTGCCGGATCGTGGCGGCCGGTGAGGACGCGCAGGAAATTGTCCACGGTGACCTCGTAGCCGCGGTAATCCACCTCCACATTCTCGCCGTAGAGGTTGAGCTTGTGATCCTCGTTGTTGAAGACCTGGGCCGGGCGGGAATTCCTGGCGTTGCACGCCATGTCGTCGGCGAGCATGAGGAGGATGTGATCGTCCGGGATGCCCAGGCGCTTGACGGTGTGGTAGATCGAGAGGGTGTTGGCCATATGCCTGTAGTTGAACCAGTAGCGCGAGGTACATACCAGCACCGCCCAATTGCTCGTGTGCGCCGGCGCTGCCATGGCGCTCGGCGCGATCGACGAAATCAGCAGTAGCAGTGGCAGCAGCAGCAGCAGTGGCGCCATGGCGCTCCTTTCCCCCCCAAAAACCCTAAAAATGTGCGTGCGATCCTAGCCGTAGGATTTTCGCGGTAAAATTGCTATTAAATACCACCATGGATTGCAAAGACTTTCTTATGATCAAAGTTGCGACTATGGTACAAACATTCCAGCGAGAGCTTTTCTTCCACCACGATCATCCTCCCGGACGAAAAAAAAGAGATTCTTCGTGGTGGCTCCTAAACTCCCAGGTACTGGAAAATGGAAGGAGCGAGCTCGGCGACTGACCATCCAAGAGCAGCGTATTGCAAAAGCCGGATGCCCGTGTCCACGTCCAAGTGATCTTCATCGATCACAGGCAGCAGCCTTAGCCACAAATTTCTCGTCTCTTCGTCGCGGGGAGAGCTCTTCTTGTCGCTGTTCTTCGCCTTTTCTTGCAGCGGCGGGACGTAGGAAGAGGAATAGATGGGGACGAAGAAGGCTCGGCATACCCACGGAAGTAGCTGCTTTGCGAGCTCCTTGGACAGCTCCTTGACAGCTAGAACGACTGGAAATCCAATCGCGAGTCTGAGGATTAAGTTGAGCGTGTCCTGGAGTGTTGAGATTGAGAGGGCCGTCGTTTGGCCATACGAGTAGAATCTGTGTGATCCATATACCTGAGAATGATCGATGAGAATGGAGGATAGAACAGAAGGAGAGCTTACCACTCCCAGTACGACGCCGTTGAAAGCAGTGTGAAACTCAAAGCTTGGTGTCTTGTATTCTGGCCTTGGATACGCGAAGAGAACGAGAAATGACATGCTTGTCCAGAACGGAAGAACTGCAAAAAGAATGTCTTTTGTTCGTCGTATCATCTAACTGGATTTTGGCAGCATACCGTTTTCACCCTCCGTGACAAATTGGTCGATATGATCGTCAACGCAGCACCAAAACATCAATAGGCACAAGCCAATGGGAATCCCCGCATAGACATCGATGGGCGTGTGCATGCCCAAGTAAAGTCTCCCTGGAAAAAGCAAGGAACACGTTACAGCAAAGACAACTTGGCCGTTCTTACCGTAAGCAACAAGAACAATCACGAGGCAGATGATTCCCAACACAAGCCACCACACGCGAGAATCGCTTGGAAACTGCTGGTGGTTCATGAAGTAATTAAAGAGATACCTGGAGAAAGACAAACAACGAACAAAGTAAGACAATGGAATGGATCACCTCAGCACGCGAATACCGAAGCTTACAGTGATAAACAGATTGTGTTGATAGTGTGAGAAGAGGGGAGTCCAAACTCCATGGCGGACTCCTCCTCGCATTTAATGGCAGTGAGACGCCTGACCGGAGGAGATGCTGGCCGGGGGGCCGAGACAACGTCCTTGACACAATTCCCAACGTAGATGCAAACAGCCATAAGGATCGTCATTTGCCTCGCAAGCCTCGTCTGGCCACACTGGAAGAATGAAGAACAAAGAACAAAGAAAGAAAAAATTCAAACCCGGAGGCTACTACTTAGAACAAACGCGAAACTATTTACCCAGAAGAGAAGCGGGAGAAACGCAGTGTAGAACTCCACCGATACCACCGAGGATGCGACGGCAAACACGACATCCCAGAATGGATTCTTGGAACGCTGCAAGAAATCTTCGCGGATCAATCGATCCAGCTCCGGATTCATGACGAAGAAGCGTACCTGGATGTGAAGGATCGTCTCAGTCCCCTTGAGAACCCGCTGCGTCACCAGCGGCTGGAGAATAGATCGGGCGCGCAGGGTGAGATTGGTGAAGCTGGAGAATCGCAGCCAAGAGAGGATCGTGACGAGCGTAATCACTTGCCAGACGGGGACGCCGACAGCCTCCATCAATCAGAGATTTCCCCACAGCTCCAAGGAGAGAGACGAGCTCGCATTCTCCCGAAGCGTCCAGCGCTCTTTCCCGGAATCGCCCGGCTCAAGAACCCTAAGTCAAGAACGCGTGGCCAAGGGATATTCCTGGGATCAATCAGAGCCCTAGAAAAGGCAATTTGCGCTTCGATTCTTTGGCGATGGCGACCGAGACGGTGTGTGCGATCACCAGCGTGGAGTTGTGGCAGGCCAAGTTCAAGGAGGCGGAAGAGGGCAAGAAGCTGGTGAGTGGAAATCGGGCGCCATTGCTAGGGTTTAATCGTTTGATCGATCGATTTCTCCCCTTTCCTTTTGCAGTTAGTGGTGGATTTCACTGCGACGTGGTGCGGCCCTTGCAAGGCCATAGCTCCGATCTTCCTGGAGTACTCCAAGACGTTCACGGATGCGATCTTCGTCAAGGTGGATGTGGATCAAATGCCTGTGAGTTTAAAAATTACTTTTTTGTGTGTTCTTGACTCGATCCTTGCTCTTTCCAGGCGATCACTACCGAGTGGAAGGTCGAGGCGATGCCTACTTTCCTCTTGATCAAGGAAGGCAAAGTGGTGGACAAGATCGTTGGAGCGGACAAGGACCAGTTGAAAAAGAAGCTCCAGCTCCACACTGGAGCTGGAGTGCACGCCTAGGCTAGTCAAGAAAAGAATGGGACGATTTCCATACTACTAAGAAGTAAGCATTCGTGCTTTTAAGTTTATAGAAGAAGAAAACCTTTGTCGTTGAATTGGTTTGTATCTCATAGCTTGGCTGATAAACGAGAGCTCTGGTCCTATTCAATAGCTATAGCGATGGTGTTTCCAAAAACTTTAGCTCTTCACCAAGCAATCCATGAAGCCTTGCTTGAGCTCGGCTTCGTTGAGGTTCTTGCCGATGAACACGAGCTTGTTCTGGCGTTTCTCGTTGGGACCCCATTCTCTGTCCATTGTTCCCTCGTATACCGCGTGAACACCCTGAGTAAAAGAGAAAACTTTCAGATCTTGCAAACACTTCTAGCATAGTCACCTGGAAAACAAATCGCTCCTTGCAATCCTCGATGGACAGGATGCCTTTCATTCGATACAAGTCTTCGCTCCGTTCATCGAGCAGGTCCCCGAGCCATGTATCGATCTGTGCAATAGAATGAGTAAAAGGAAGACGAGGAGAACAGCTTACTTTCTCCAAATCCAAGTTCCCCTCACACATGATGCTCACGGACGACACTCCAGGGTCGTGGTGATGGTCGTGCTTGTGCTCGTGTTTGTGCTCGTGCTTATGCTCGTGTTCGTGGTCATGGCCTTTAGTTTGTCGGGTGTAAGACACACTAAAAGAATATAAATTCTTACCGTGTTCATGCTTGTGGTCATCGTGAGCATGAGCATTAGCTTTCTCTTTCTCTTTCTCGATCTCAACCTCCAGGCCCGCTACTCTGAAGTACAAAACAAACAATTAGCTTAGACGGGTTCCTCCAATGAAGCAAAGGAAAACTAGAAGGCGTACTTCTCCAGGTCAAAACCACCGACACCGAGAACGTAATCCATGTCGACTTTGCCATACTGTGTTGACTTAACACTCGCCATTGCATTGATACGCTGCAAAAGAAGATTTTGAAAAGCTAGAGACACGATCTTCATACCTTTATTCTCTCGGATAGAGTTTGAATGGCCTTCTCGTCAACTAAGTCCACCTACAAAGAAAGCAAAAAAGAAAGAGAAAGGCCGGTTGGCAAAGATATCGCGTCATGAAAAAGCGAACCTTGTTGAGTATGATACGGTCGGCATAGGCTACTTGCTCCACGGCTTCATTCACCGCGCCATCTGGCTTCACTTCGTCAAGATGCATAGGAGCGTGCTTGGCGTCCACCATCGTGACAACGCCGTCAAGTCGATAATGGTGCGCTACTCTGTCTTCCGCGTAAAATGTCTGAATGATCGGAGCAGGATTAGCCAGGCCTGGAACGATGACAAAGATGAAGAAGCTCTCGAATCAAACTCGACAAATCCAAGAGCCAGTACCCGTAGTCTCGATCAGGACGTGATCATACAAGCCTTTCTTCGTGAGAAAAAGCTCCTTGAGCATGTTGACGAGGTCCCCTCGCACCGTGCAGCAAAGACAGCCATTGTTGAGCATCATGATATCTTCCGTGGCAGATTTTCGGCCAACAACGAGGCTGTCATCGATGCCAACTTCTCCAAACTATGAAATCACAAAACTAAAATGAGAGATAAGAAGAAAAAAGAAAGAGAGAAACAAGTACCTCGTTCTCAATGACAGCGATCCTTTTCCCATGCTCGCCAGTGAGCACGTAGTTTAGCAGCGTAGTCTGCCATCAAGACATGATAAGTTCATGGTTGAAAAACTTACAAAGAAAACTTTGCATGAAGAAGAAGAGAAGATTTTACCTTGCCAGCGCCAAGAAATCCAGTGATCACAGTGATAGGAACCCGATTATCGACGCAGACATGGCTCTCGGGAATCTCAGTTGGAGCAGTCTCCTGCTGGGTGGTCGCATTTGCCAGAGTTCTAACGCTCAGCTTCCTCGTCGCAGACATTCTCCCCTGAGCGCCTATTCCTTTCGCTACCCTTGGAGCTAATCTCCCATAGAACCTCAATCCACCGCCACTGGCCTTGTTGAAAACCATGACCACCGACGACGCGCTTGCGCGCGTCCCATGCGCCCACGCCAATCCTCTTCCACACAATGCCATTGCCGCGCTTGCTGCCGCCATCACTTGCGCGCTTCTTCTTTCCTTGCTAAACCTACGCCGCTAGCCTGGAATTCTGGCGGTCAAAAAGAATTCTTTCCCTCGATCGCTCCCAGGAATGCGATCGCGCAGAGCTCCAATGCCGCGGCGAGAGAGGAAGAGAGGGAGGGACTGGACCTTTCCTTCTAGAGCCCTCTTTCCGGATTACCGGAATGTACCACCAGATAAACGATGGACGGACAGGGATTCGCGATCGGACGGCCGCCAAGAAATATCTATCTCCTAGAACCCTAAACCCTACCCTCCTACGTAGAAAATTTTGCCTCAAAAAAGAAGCAAAACGTAAATTTATGGATTTTTGTTCTTCAAGTTTTGATGTTCTTCAACACGGCCAATTCAATCTTCTTGAGCGTGGATTGAGCTGCAACACATTCCAATCGATCCAGAGTGAAAAATCCTTCTCAAACACGAAGCTACAAACTAAAATGTCTGATGCAAAACCTGGAGATCTAGGGCAGTATCATATAGAGAGGAGAAAAGAACTGTAGAAAAAGGAAAAAAGAGAGTGTGTGGATTCCAAGCAAAGGTAAATACCTGAAGAATCCAGCCGCCGCGATGATCAAGGCTTCTTTTTTACAGTCTTCTCCTCGCTGGGAGCAACGCTTTGATAGTATGCAAACGTGATCACGCCCGTGACGAGCAAAACTCCAGCAAGAAACGCCGGATACCTCCCCGATTTCTTCAACGTAACCCCGCCCTCCTGGTGTAGAACTTGCCTGGATTCGTGAGCAAACATCTCCCGGTGCGCCGTATCTTTCGCTGCCCCGTCCACATCCTTGCCGCCGCCGCCAGCCATGGATTTGGAGATCGGATCGCTCGCGCTAGGGATTCCCCAGGGGAAGAGCACGAGAAAGAGCCCTAAATTTTTTCTACCCCAAATTCTGTGCCCTGGCCTGTTCTTTCTTTCTCGTGGTGTGCTGTCACCTTGCCAACGGCCTATGCTGCCACGTCGACACACTTTATTAATGCACAGTAAAGGGGTCGGGGGATCGAATCCTGGGAGATGGCCTCGACATGAAAGTAGAAAGTTTTTGACTTCTCGCGAAAGATTATAGGGTTCTTATTGGATTTGTTGCTCCTAGGTCAGCTGGATCGATTTCCCGGTTCCTCGAGCTGGATGACGCATCACAATGGATAATGCGATAGCGCAGGTACGAGAAGGGATAGCGCTGCAGCGAATTCGGCTCGTAGAGTAGAGGAATTTAGGGAATGGCGTGGGCCGTGAGGAAATCAGGGGTTCGTAGCTTGAATAAGATCTATGCGAATTGGGAGAATGCGAGAGGATTTCAACCGCTTGGTGAGTTGAGGAACAGATTAGAGAATGGAAGCTCGAGGAACTACTACAGGACGAACTCCTCGAATCAACTCGTAGTCCAGCCATCGTACAATGGGAAAAGAGCGTTTCTTGTGGACACACTCCAATTGGTATCGTATAGTTTTGTGTGTTGTTTTTTTGGATTGGATGGCTATCTAAGCTGTGGTTCCATTTAAAACAGGTAAGGCGGCTTGAGAAGCAGGGTCTAACCGATAATCAAGCTGAAGCTATCACCGCTGTGATCACCGAAGTGCTCAATGATAGCTTGGAGAATGTTGCTCAGTCCTTCGTTTCCAAGCCAGAGATGCAGCGTGTAAGTGATCGCTTGACGTCTTCGTCACTCACCCGTGCTTTTCGTGTTAGAAAGAGTTGATGCAAGAGGCAGTCCTTTCGAAGTTGAGAGCAGAGATCGTCAGCCAGCTCGTGAGCTATTTCATTTTCTCGATTTTTTTCAAGTGTCACTTCTGGCTTTTCATCGCAGGAGCATCATGTGTCTACCTCACAGCGGGAATCAGAACGACTACGGACAGATCTTGACAAGCTGAAAAGCGAGTTGAAGTAAGTCGTAAGTAAAGTCCTGAGTTCCTCCTCAACCACTGTTTTCCGCTTGTAGATACGAGATCGACAAGGTTACAGCAGGCCAGCGCCTTGATCTCAACCTTGAAAAGGGGTAGGCAAACTCTCCGCGATTTTGGTTTTCTAGAACTTTGTCACTCTCTCTCCAGGCGCATCAGGGATGTCCTCGCGAATCAAAGCACCGAGACAGCGAATCTGACAAACAAGCTGGATAGTGTAAGCAATCATTTTCACTCAAAAGAATTCTCTGAACGCACCATCTACAGGAGATCCACACTCTCAAGACCCAGCTGGAAGTTGCCAAGTATGATGTGATCAAGTACTGCATTGGTAAATCTTTTACACTTCTAAAGCACACCGATAAGATCTCTAAAAGAAAATCTCTTGCGCTGTGACAGGTTCCATCGTCTCCGTAACCGCGGTTGGCCTTGGTCTACTACGTATCATGATGTGAAGAAAAGAAAACGTCCAAGAGTTCGTGAATAAAAAAAAACTAAAAAAAAAATCAAAGAGAAACGAAGAACATAGAAGATGGTGATCACGTCGCATTCTTTTTTAATCTTTGCCTTGAAGCGAAACAATAGTGGAAGGATCGCTCACTGCCCAAGGTTGGAGCTTGCATTGTATTCAAGCCATTTGGACATGGCACACAAGGAAGGATCCTATTAAGCGTAGTTTGGTGGAAAGAGGGAAGAAGCCATTAAAAAATTCCTTGTTGTCCGTTGGATGAATTAAATAAAGAAAGGTGAGAAAGATGGTAGCTTTGACGAGTGAAAAAGATGACAAAAACGCAAAAGCGAGGAACTTCACGATCCCCAACGTCTTTCTACCGCGGCCCCGTGATTTTACTGGACTTTTTGACCCGGGTCCCCGTGGTAAAAACGCTCGCACGGTTCGAAACCGCGCGTGAAAACGGAGCGCCGGACCGGAAAGCCAAACGCGGCCATTGAGGTGTCGCCAGCTGGCAGCACAGTGACGTGGAGAATATGACGTGCTGACGGCCGCTTTGACGGGCGGCAAGGACACTATGAAAAAGGACAAGCTAGAGCGCAGTGTAAGGCATCGTTTTACCTATAGAGTGCATTGGAAGGTTCAGGACAACGAACAGGCTAGGGTTCTTGCTCTTCTTGGAGGCGTAAGCGCGTCTACGCGATCGATAGCTATCGCGCATTGCCGGTGGGCGCGCATTTGGGGAAAAATCTGCCGCGCTGGAGTGGATCGATGCGACGGCAGCGGCTCGGGGATGAGATAGCAGGATTTCGCGAAATGTAGGCGAGGAGGTCTCGGGATTTGGATTTCTTGCTCGCGCCGGAGCTGGATTATGGCGACATTCAAGAAAGCGGCGACAACGCAGCAGCGATGGCGAAATTTCGGATGCCGCAAATCTGTCGCGGTCTCTCTCGTTGTTTCTGTGATCGCTCCCCTCCTCTTCCTGGCCGGGCGAGCGGGGAGCTTCACATCAGCGTTTGGTGAGGTTTGCCACGGTTTTCGTCCAGGACCCTGGAAATCCTAACGCATTGAATGCTTCGCGCAGGTCACAAGGAATTCACCACCGACTGGGCATCGACTCTTGTGAGTAAAACCTCGCTAACTAGTCCATTTGTCCCTTGCGTGCGCTCACTCTCCCACCCTCTCTCGATTTTTCCAGAGCCACAGCGAAAGCACGAGAAAGCTGAGCGCATTAGAGCAAAACTTTCCTCAAGAGGTTTGCTTGATGGTTTCTCACCGGCACTCATCCGAATTTCCGTGACCCTGGCAGGCCCTTAAAGCAGCGTCTACCGATCCAGAGCCCTTGAATCTCAACATCGTTGGCCAGGATTTGTCATCCTCATTGATTCAAGAAGAAACAATTGATGTCAGCAGGACAGATGCCACCTCTTATCAGGTACAGATTAGCTCCTTTTGCGATTGTCAAGCAGCAATTTTTCGGGTTTTGCAGCAAGAGGATCCGGCAGAGCACACTGCAGACAAGCTGGAAGAACAAAAATTGGCACTGAGAACTAGCAGCTCAGAGGAGCAGCGAGATACGCCTGGTATGCTGTCATGGCTTCGCATTGCTTGTTAGTGCGTTCGTTTGTTTAATGGCTCTCCGTACAGACAATTCTGTTGTTGGTGGACAGCACGATGGACCCCAACTCCTTCAAGTTAAGGTACCTTGTTTCCTTTCCATTTTAAGCTGTGCCGTTAAGATAGCTAGAACGTCAGGTGTCGGACTCGGGTGCGGACCAGATTGGAAAAGAGGAATCCAATGCCAAGGAAAACCCCGTCCCCGAACCAAATCGAAGGAAAGAAAAGAAAGGCAGCATTCACGATTCTTTGATTCGAGCATTGCGAGACCAGCTTATTATGGGGAAGGCATACGCAACGCTGGCGCAGGCTCAAAACAACTTACGGCTGCTACAGGAGTTGAAAGTTCAAACCAAAGAAATTCAGGAGATTCTTCTCGAGGCAGAGACAGATTCTGAGCTCCCAAACAGGTTCGTACTCATGCATGCTGTTTGCGTTTGCATCTCAACCTTTCTTCTTTCGGTGCAGTGCTCGCTCAAAGATCAAGTATATGGGGGAAATACTGGAAAGAGCAAAAGCTCAACATTATGACTGCACGGCCATGGTTAAAAAGCTTCGAGCAATGCTGCACGCCACTGAGCAAGAAGGACGTATGCTCAAGAAACAAAGCGTGTTCCTGAGTCAGCTAGCTGCGAAGACAATTCCCAAGGGCCTTCATTGCCTTTCGATGCGGTTGAGCGTGGAGTTCTACTCCCTTCCTCCTGAAAGCCGGGAATTACCTCACCAGGAGAATTTGGAAGATCCAAACCTCTACCATTATGCGCTGTTTTCTGACAACGTATTAGCGACATCAGTGGTGATCAACTCGACTGTTTCTACTGCGAAGGTACGGAATGTTTTCTCGAGACAACGACAGGATGTTCACATGCGAGTTTGCAGGATCCCAGAAGGCACGTATTTCATCTGGTAACAGATAAGCTCAACTACGGTGCTATGAAGATGTGGTTTCTGGCAAATCCGCCGAAAGGTGCGACAGTAGACGTCCAGAACATCGACGATTTCAAGTGGCTGAACTCGTCGTACTGCCCGGTTCTTCGTCAGCTCGAATCGGTGACGATGAAAGAGTACTACTTCCGCTCAAACAATCCTTCGGTGGCAACTGGTTTGAAGTACAGGAATCCCAAGTACCTCTCCATGCTCAACCACTTGCGCTTTTATCTCCCGGAGATTTACCCCAAGCTGGACAAGATTCTGTTCCTGGACGATGACATCGTGGTCCAGAAAGACTTGACACCTCTCTGGTCCATCAATCTCCGCGGCAACGTCAACGGAGCGGTTGAGACGTGCGGGGCCAGCTTCCATCGCTTCGACAAGTATCTCAACTTCTCCAACCCGCTCATCTCCAAGAGCTTCGATCCCAACGCGTGCGGCTGGGCCTACGGCATGAACATCTTCGATCTGCGCCAGTGGAGAGACAAAGACATCACTGGCATCTATCACAGATGGCAAGACATGGTTCGTCTTTTGCTCTTCACGGGACGTTTGTTAATACCCGGTGTTTGTTTTTGTTTCGCACAGAACGAGGACAGGACGCTGTGGAAGCTGGGGACCCTTCCACCAGGCCTCATTACGTTCTACAACCTCACGTACTCGCTCAACAAGCACTGGCACGTACTGGGGCTGGGCTATAACTCGGAGGTGAAGAGCAAGGACATCCACAGCGCGGCGGTTATACACTACAATGGCAACATGAAACCGTGGCTGGAGATCGGCATGGCCAAGTACAAGCACTACTGGAGCAGGCACGTAATGTTTGATCACCCCTACTTGCAGCAGTGCAACATCAACGAGTAGAGAAAGTTTTGGTTGAGAGGGTCGCGCGGTCGTTTTCGTAAAAGAGGCTGGCGAAGCAAAGCGCGCAGGGGGTTTTTTCAGAGAGACATGGTCCAATCCAATCTACTAACCAGGAATTCTTCATTCAAGATTTTTCATTCTTTTTTGTTGTTTTCTCTGAAAGCCGGGTTTTCAAATTTGTAAAATATATCCTGAAAATAAAAGCATGAAATCCAAGAGATATAATACACCTGGAATATTTAAGAACTTCCAGACCATGAGAATGGTAAAGTTGTGATATTGGGAGGGTAAAGTGATTAATAACGCTGTTTAAAAACTAAACCGCTTTGTACAGGAGAATCAATTATCTCACACGTCGCTCTTGCGGACCAATCTTTTTGTTTAGAATACCAGGCTCGTCACAAGCAGCTGCTTGCATGGCGGCTTCTTTTGCTGCCTTCACCACATCGTCGGATGACTCCTGAAACATGAGACAAGCAAACGAATCAGACGAAGTCTTGGATTTGTGAATGACCCACCTGAGCCCACAAACCGCAACGATTGCAGCTGCGACAGGACTTTCCTGGTTCTCGAGCGTGCTAAACATAAGACAAGAAAGGAAGCAGGAAGCAATTAAGTTCGCTAAGATGTTTGGAAGCCACACCTGACAAAAGTGCGAATAGCCGGCCGAGATTTTCTGTCGACAAACATAGCACATCATCTGGCCACACCTACACGTGATCTGCGCAACAAAAAGAACCGCAAAAGCGCAAGTTTTGATGGGAAAAAAGAACTACCAGAAAGAGCCAAACCTTATTGCAACCATCGGTTTTCACAAGCTCGGCTTTGCACGAGAGGCATTCTCTCACGAGAGCCTTTGTCATGAGCTGCAACAAAGACATTCTGTTTAGCTACAAACCCCTGCGTAAGATTTTGCTTTTCTCACCTCTTCCACTTGCCGTCTCAACGAGGTTTCAGTTTTCTGCCAAGACCTTGAGTGATTAGATCACGAGCAAGAACTCAAGACTTACTTTCTCAACCTCGTGGCACTCTAGCGGCAGATGATTCGGCTCCTTGCATTTCACGCACGAACTCTGGGAGATAACCAAGCCGTCATGCCTTCACTTCAACTTGCAAGGAAAACAACCTTCGCACACATTATGTTTGGACAATCTAGCACTCGAAATCCGGGATCCAACTCACACGGGAAATTGCAGAACGGACAATACACCTGCACAATAACTTGGATCAATCAACACGGCGAGACGATGATACGTACTAAACCCTCTAGTCTGGCTCGAGCAACCGATTCCTCGGCCAGCCTTCTCTCATACTTGGACAAGACGTCAGCAGGGAGTGCTCTTGATACCTGGCATGAGATGACTTAGTGGAAAACTATTAGAGGAAATTTAAAAACCTCAGAGGCGGGGAAAAAACCCGAGCATCCAGCAGTGTCCATGCATGACAAGACTGTGTAACTCTGTCCTCCTCCGAATGTGGCTTCCTCTACATGGCGCCTCAAGCAGCTAAAACAGAACAGATGGCCATCTACACACTGCAAACACACATTTTACTTCAAAGAAGAACTCGAGGAAATATGAAGCGAGTACCTGCGCGAGCTGCTCGAACGAGCACTCGGAAAAGCAGCACCCACACTCAAAACTGGCCTCCTTCTCTTCCTTGGCAATGCGTCTCTTTACAATCTCAAACTCCCGATCAAAGAGCGGGCAGGACTTTCGAGGACGAACCAATCTTCTCGGAGATTTATTGAGCTTGAATCCCTCTGCCGGGAGCCAGCTCGAGCTCTCGTTCTCACCACCGTGGTTACCATCCCGCTCTCTTGCCAGTGCCTTGTGATACTCGCTGCGAAGGGCCGCGTAAGAAGGCCCCAGCTTCCTCATATGCCGCTTTAGAGCCTGCCTCACGCAGAGCACGGTTGCTCGCGGGAATTCGCTACACAGCGTGTAGACACACCACTCCTGGTAAATCTCCCCAGCCTCCGGCGGCGGCGGCTTCATCTCAAACACATTCTCGTCCTCTTCTCCCGCCGCCGCCACCGCCACCCCCACCGCCGGTGATCGCGATGATCCGCTGGGAGTGGCCCTGGATCTCGCACTTCGACACCTCATCCGCGAGGCTAGCACTGCCGCATCGAATTCCTCCTTGGAGACCGCTCTTACCTGCAATGCGGTTTCCTCCTCCTCTTCCTCGAGCTGCTTGCCGCGGCAAGCTCGATACGTGTGAGCTCTCTTGGGAGGCAAGAGCGGTGCACCGGAGTCGCCATCGTCGATCGTGATCGGTCGCTGCGCGGGGTTCCGTTTCCTCATGGAGAGAACCCTCAGAACCCTAATCCAAACATTCTCATGTATACTTGAAATTTTTCCCATGCTGTAGACATAGAAGCCAGGCATCTCTTAAACCAGTAGACTGATATTTTGCCCGAGGATTTGTTCACCAAAGACAACCGGCAGGGGAAACATGTGCCAGAGACGGAAGGCGGGCCTGTCGCTGAATCCCGGCGGACACTGAGAAGTGTTGACTGAGCGCTCTAACCTTGTCAATCCACTTTTCGAGTGATATAAATAGAAAATAATAATAATAATACAAAATCGAAAATTATTGCAGATATGAGATAAGGATCTAATACATATATATATATATATATATATATATATATATATGAAAGTTCTAGCTTTGGCTTATATTTAGAAACTTATACCACACATGACATATACCAATTACAACACATTTTTTCGAACTATAAAAAGCTTCAATTTATCAGTATCTCTGTAGCTCTTGAGCTTGCAATGAACCTTTAGATTGTACATCTTTGATTGAATAGAGTCCATTATAGTTGAATCATCATCTTATAGCATAGCCAGCTTACATTCAGGCATCCCTACACTTTAATTGGCAGCATCATCAAATGCAACAGCCCATATGTGTCCAGTGCTATCCAGAATACACAAGCTCAATGCATAATATCTCCAAAACCAATGTCACAAGAGTTGTAATGCCACATGCCTTCTGAAACCTGAGTAACCTTCTTGCTGCATTGCCTTGCATTGACAGCCTTCACACATGCTAGATAATAGAAGTCACTAGTCTGGATTTCTTTCACTGACTCAATAATAGGAAAAATATCAGAGTATGCAGAAACCTTTAGGGTGATAGGCAATATCGCAGATACAGTCTTTGTACTGGAAATCACTGCTTTAGAAGACAAGTTGGTCGCACAGAGAAAATTGGTTGTGTCATAGCTAGCAACCATTCATTCATGCAGCTATCAAACATCTTCTAATTCAGGATCAACCAAAAGTGTAGAGCTACCTATGACTGAAATGTACTTGCCATTGTATTACAAAGTATTACTGGATGCTATGGCAGAAGAGTATCCAGCTAGGAATACAACAACACCTTACCATCCACATTTAGCAATGTGTCAGCTCTTATTAAAATCTTTAAGGAGTTTGATGAAGTTAGCAGTCACTTTTAGCATATCACAAAAAACCTTGTCCATCATCTGCTGGAAAGTTGTTGAAGCATTGTTCAAACTAAATAACATCACCAAGAACTCGTATAAACCAAATAGTATACGAAACGCAGTTTTAGGAATATCTTCTTTAGCAATTAGTACTTGTCAGTACCCAGAAGCAAAATCTAACTTGGTGAATTAACAACTTTACTTTAAACGATCTAAGAAATCAATAGTGTGAGGAAGAGGGTATACATTTGGGATTGTCACTACATTTAAGATGTAGAAATGAATACTCCTATCAGGTTTCGTCACAAGATGAATGTAAGCGACTAAATTTTCCATTCTACTTTAGTCACTTAACCACACCTCCGACCACTTGGAGGAGTCTCATTCGCAACCTCCATAAGTCCAACTCAGGACTTGGGGCTTGCTAGCCCCGAGAATGGCATCCATGCCACTCAACCTTAGCACGTGGTCCAAGTGCTCCACGTGTCCGATCCCATGATCGACACCCCAAGGTACCACCGACGTATCGGCCCGTTACGCTAAGGCCATGCCCATTTACCTTGGTCACACTGGTGGTCCAACACCACCTACATTCCAATCCCGTCTCTCCAAGACTGGGTCATCCGTCCATGAGTGATCATCCCAGATCCACTCCTTAACATCCTTAGGATGCCTACAGACATGGGGAATAGCCTTCCCCAATAACTCTGTTCCAGTCCCCACCAAGTCCCTTTCTGTCCTTGGCTGTGTTTGCCAACACTGCCACTGGATCAAGGCCCACCGGCCCAACCACTAAGTCCCACTATCCTCTAGGACTTCCTCACCATGTGACCATATCCTTGGTCTCTACATTAGAGGCCTACTCCTCTTCCTTTCCACAGTCTGGGCCTTTGGGACAACATTTCGGAACACCGTGGCCTTACGCGAGCCACCTGGGTACTCTCCTCGCCTTCTGCCCTTGGGTGCTCTAGCCATGGGCTTAGAGCGGGTTCCGTTGAGCCACACCAGGTATCCAAGTAGGTAGTGCCACCCACACTTGGACTGGGAGCATCGGCCAGTCGATCTCCCGGGGGAACTAGAGCCGGCTCTTGAACACTTCACCAAGCTACCCCGCTTGTCGGTCCGTGTTCACTCTAGTCTTGGACTTCCCAGTGGGCAGCTCATCACCCAACACTGGGTCCGGCCTTCCTGGGCCAAACTGGCCTTTCCTGGCCAAACTGGCTCCACTGCAGTCCTCCCCCTACTATACTTTTGGAGCTCACCAAACCCCCCAGGGTCTGGGAGACGAACGCTTTGGGCTTTCACCCTCTCAGGCTCCGGACTCGGACTCGGACTCGGACTCGGACTCGGACTCGGATTCGGACTCGGACTCGGACTCGGGCTCGGTCTCGGCCTCGGCCTCGGCCTCGGTCTCGGTCTCGGTCCCGATCTCGGTCTCGGTCTCGGTCTCGGTCTCGGTCCCGGTCTCGGTCCCGGTCTCGGTCTCGACTTCGGACTCCATCTCGGACTCCATCTAGGACTCCATCTCGGACTCCATCTCGGACTCCATCTCGGGTCCATCTCGGGTCCATCTCGGACTCCATCTCGGACTCTATCTCGGGTCCATCTCGGACTCCATCTCGGACTCCATCTTGGGTCCATCTCGGGTCCATCTCGGACTCCATCTCGGACTCCATCTCGGGTCCATCTCGGACTCCATCTCGGACTCCATCTCGGACTCCATCTCGGACTCCATCTCGGGTCCATCTCGGACTCCACTTCGGACTCCAACTCGGGTCCATCTCGGACTCCACTTCGGACTCCAACTCGAGTCCATCTCGGACACTCCCACGTGTCATGTGTTGGTCCCTTTTTGGAGCCTCACCTTTTGCCCACTTCGTGCTCGTTCCTCGAGCACTTCGTTGGGAGTTCCACTCCCGCTCTTGACTTTTCAAGTCGGAGCTTTTGGTCCAAACGTGTTACGCTCGTTTGGCTCTCGCTTCGGCCACTACCATGTGGCGCCCTTCCGGCTCCACTTTGGGGCCTAGGGATTTTGTGTCTCACAACTCCACCACCCATAGACGAAGTTCGATGTCCTCATCGAACGGTGAACAATTTTATAAAGTAACACCCACATGTGTTACCATTTCCATCCTTGGCGCGTAGCCAATATTTGTAAATGGTGTGACATTGAAGGCTCACCATGCCTTCTCTATATTCGTCAATGGTTGGACATTGAAGGCTCACCATGCCTTCTCCATATTCGTCAATGGTTGGACATTGAAGGCTCACCATGCCTTTTGCATATCCTCTAAGGAGGGTAGTCTCTCCAACTTAGAGACTGATTGGACCACATATAGTGGTTCTCTCCTTTTATTGGTTTAGTTCTCGCTAAACTTTTTAGAGACCCTTCTCTAAGTCAATCCCACTACTCCTTCTCGAGTAGTTTCAATTTCCATCTATTGAACGTTTGCACCTTGGAACTTTTACTCTTTTGACTTTTGGAAGTCAATTTCCTAGGTGTCTCCAACACCTTGCATTGCACAGATTGTGCAACTCCACTTCCCCATCCTAGGAAGCTCATTACTTGAGGGCACCATCATCCTCTCTTCTATTTCGTGCCACCTTGGGCACTAAGTTCCATTTATCATACTTTGTGCTAGGGCTGTCCATGGCCCTATCATTTGGCTACCTTACCGCTCCCTCCCTTGGAGCTTCCACTTTCGCCAAATCAGAGCAATTCGGAATTCATCCTTGGAAACACACTTCCTTTTCCGGAATTTGTTAGCGTCCAACACATTAGTGTTCCTCGCCTAACTTTGTCACTTGGATTCCTTCCAAGGGATTCCACGGCCCTATCTTGGCCACTCATCTTTTGCTCCTATCCGTTGATTGTTGCACCAAGCAACATCGAATTTCTACCTCCCTCTTTGAGGTATTCTTGTGATTCCATAGCAAAGGCTCTGCTTTTCCAAGATTAGGGTGTTCGCCCCTAGTAAGTCTCTTTAGCATCTTCTTCTGTGGGCTCTATCCACGGCCCAACTTTGTGACCCTCCCATGGGTCTCTTTAGAGACTACTTTCCTTGGACACACTATGCCATCGCAATGACATAGCTCATTTCCCTAGGGTGCTTTTCCCACTTGGTCACCTTGACCAAGCCACACCATCATCAATAGTTCAAATCAACACTTTGAACTAGGAACCTTATTCCTTAACCCAAACAAGGACCTTGTCCTTATTTAGCCACAAGATCACCTAGTGATCTCACCTCGGCACCTTAACAGGTTTGCCAATAGGTACTAGGTCTTCCAGACCTTTAATTTGTTAACTACGACCCCGGGGGCATCCCCCACACTTGGCGGTGCGCCCAAGCCAGCCCTTCCGGACAAGGGTCCATAGCAACTGAGATTAGGTGTCCCCATCTCACTCACCACGTCCTTGGTGCCACTCGCACCAAAGCGTTCAAGTTAGATATGCCGAGCTTTCACACTAAGCAATCTAACTGTGCATCACGACTCCGAGGCATCCCTCGCTTGGCGGTGTGCCCAAACCAGTCTCCCCACTGAGAGTCCATGACCACCGAAATATGAGTGTCCTCATATTCCAAACCATCACCACGCCCTAGTGATTTGGGACTCGAACCCAAGCACTAGAGGGTCGGGACTCGAACCCAACCTCCGTATATGCATCTACGGACGGCATCACACAAGATGCCTGGCGTGACTCCCCACGCCGGTGCACCAACTTATTTTTAAAGCGCGCTACAGATCACAGCTTAGGAACCTAGTTCCTCCACACTGCCAAGTCCTCTCACTTGACATGTCTGTGATCATGCATGGACTCCTCCATGCTCGGCCCCATGGCCCACCCTTTTTGAAGTTATCACCTTCAACTAGGGTATTTGTTCCCCCGACGTGCCAATCTCGCTTGGCAAGTCCT